GAAAATTATGTTAGAGTGCACCGTTGACGACAAGAGTAACTCTTTTGAGTTGGATACTGGTGCTGCTATCAGTACCTTTGCGTACCTTTGCATCTGTTTAGAAAATATTTTCCAGAAAAGATTCTCAATAGAACAAGAATAAGGTTAGGAACATATACAGGAGAAATAATTCGCCCCTTAGGTTTTGCAACGGTCAAAATTTGTCATAATGATCAAATATCTGTGGGCAACCTTTATGTTATTCGGGGAAATGTTGACAGGGTTTTTGGATGAGAATGGTTGAAACTATTCATCATTGAGCTTCAGAAGGATCACTCAAGTAAGCAGGATGGAAACGCAGTGGGATACAACAAGTCATTGACAGGAGGCCGGTGCCACGATAGGAATGGATCTAAACACCAGGCGCTAGACCAGATAATCATAGAGGCCGAGGCTCGATCGGCCGCCAAGAGACAGGCGAGAGCTGAGGCCAGAGGAATCAGGATGAGGGAACTAGAAGGTCATCAGCCGTACAGCGAATATTACTTTAAAAACTACGATATATACTCCACTCCAAAATAGGGTAGGTACCAAACATCCCAGAACTAGCTCTGTCACCAATACTAGATCTCAGCTATGCTCAAAGAACAGCTACAACTCGTCAAATTGTACTTCTGAGGACTCTCTGGAGGAAGTCAACAGCATACAAGTTGTCAGGATGGATCTAAGGGAATGTGAGGAGAAGTTCCGTAAGGCTATGGTTGCCAAGACACAACTGGACAGTGAGAGAAGGCTATACTACCGTATCAGGTGGATATGTCAAAGGAAAAATACGAGGATTTGGAGAAACAACATATTCAGTTGTTGAAACAACACAAAAATACCTACCGACAGTTTGAACACATCAAAAGGAGAAAGAACAAACTACAGGAAGATCTGGAAGTATTAGGAGCTCAGTTTGTGGAGTTGTTGCAATTGATTCAGGATAAGGGTCTTGTGGTTGTAGAGGGTGAAGAGGATGATGGTGAGGGTGAGTTCAAAAAACCGAGGACCAAACCCCTGAAGAAGGCTGGAGAGGAACTAGCAGACGTCCTATAACATAGATATGGGTCTGTAGACATTCAGTTGAAGCGGTTTAGCGGTTTGTAGAAGAATGTAATGGGTTGTTGGATGAGCTACGAGGACTCACACTAGAGTTAAAGGAGGAGAGAGCTTCACGAGTTCTACACTGATGACCAGGACGATATACAACAAAACATTTTTTTAAAGAGCTGAGGAAAACTCAGTCTTATGTAGAGGAGCTAGAGAGAATACCTTCAGAGAAGGCTGTGAAGATTAATTTTATGGGGGAAGATTTGTTCTGTCTTTAAATAGACCATTGAGTTTTAATATGTATCAGCTGACTTATTTGATTGTTTTTTTATCTATATACATACCTGTTATATCTATATCTATATAGATATATATTTAAATAAATATATATATATATTTATATCTATACCTGTTATATCTGTATCTATATACATACCTGTATATATAACAAGTATGGTTGTGATGAGGGCTACTACTATATTAATAATTGGAAACATTATAACAACATTAAGTACCCTTTTAAATTCATTTTAATTAAGAAACATTAATTAAAATGAATTTAAAAGGATACTTAATGTTGTTATAATGTTTGCAATTATTAATAACTGTATATATATAAATACGTGAGCAGTTTTCTTTTCACAGTCATAACTCTATAACGGCTTGGCGGATTTTAACGTTTGATGTGTCAAATTAAAGGTATTTTCACGTAGATGTGCAAATACGTATCAGAGTATTGAGAAAGGGCATCAATTAGTACAGTTAGGGGTAAAGTTAGGGAACGGCGGTGCTATCTGTTGACATTATCAAACAATCAAGCTCAATTCCCTTTGTTTACAACTAAACATATGGACGTAGTTTGAAATAGTTTTTAAGTTTAACCACAGACTTCAGGACTTATTACTTCCAGAGCAAAGCCGGAATTTTATATTTTCATACATCTGTTAACTAAGTCTGGTTCATAAATAAAGATATTCCTAGCAAGACCTGCTAACAAATTGTTTGTAATAGTTGAATTTACTTACCTTACATCGTATTTTACTGAACTATCATGAAGCTTTGGTTACAGTTTGAAGTGATTAAGTGAATGTTTGAAAGTGATTATTCACAGTGAAGTTACCTATTACATTACCATATTATCATGTAATTTACTATGCGTATCAATATTACTTTGTAGTGTTTTCTGTTTAATGGTTAACTTTAGTATTTTATCTCAGTTTAAAATTAAATGCTACCAGTAAGACGAAGAACTGCGAGTGGCTGGAGGGAACCCAAAGTGACCACTTGCATCAACATCCCAATTTGATGGATACAAAGTGGCAGTACTGCCGTGGTGATACATCTAATCTCCGACAAATTAACGTTAAATTTGTACATTGTGGTGGCTTACATTTTAAGCAAGAAAAGACTGGATGAGACAGTTAAATTTTTACTCTTTGTTGCAATAAATGAAAGGTTCGTTTACCTCATTTGCAGAATTCATCATACTTTCAGGAACTTATTGTAAACTCCGAATCTGAAAAGAAAAACAGAGCTGTGAGGCTTGGATTTAGAAATTATCTGGATAAAATTAGTCAATTCAATTCCGCCTTTGCCATGGTCAGCTCTAAAGCTCATTTTGACGAGAGGGTCACACAGGGGATCCACAATTTTAAGATCCATGACACGTTTTACCACCGAGTAGGTAATCTAATTCCTCAAGAAGGTCATAATCCTAAATACGCACGGATCTATAAGTTCGACGTTGGAACCCAACAGCGCATGTAAAACAATTCAAACAAAAAATGCAATGAAAAAATATGTGAGAAATAGGGTTACAATGCCAACCCATTTGCCCAATTTTAAAAACTGTGGCAGAATTTTGTAGAGACGAGAGCTGCGAGGAGTTAGATTCTTATGTGCATGGTAAGAGACAAAAGAAGTAAACCGCGACTTCCCTCGCTACAATGATGCTACCTGTATATATGTCGCAGCTATTTTAAATCTGAAAACAGAGCACCACCTGGCCAAATAAATCTTTGTTTTATTTTCAAATACTAATAGTGTTAAACGTGAATCCGTTCTAGATGCGTTTAAATCCACTCTTATGTTCCCAACCGGTGACTTTGGTTGGGGCACCTAATTCAAACATGCCTAAAACAGAACATATCGTAGAAATAAATTAACTATGCTTTAGTACGTGTCGTACTGGTTGGCGCCAAGAGAGGGATTTAGTTTGCTACGTTAGGCCTGAAAAGCTCACTTTACAGTGTGTGGTTGATATCTACTTTCTTATAGAAGGCACCCGCCTACAGTACATAATAGATAACAAAAGCCGTATGAGAACGGATCTCTATTTAAATATTATTGTACCGTAGATTACTTTTATAATTTTTTACAACATAATATTTTTCATATTTCTATAATCAGTCATAGGAATTACTTTAGAGTGACTCTATGATTGAGGTTTTGCTGTTTATGTTTTTTCTTCTTCATTATTTTATTACAAGTTGCATTTTTGCTCGATTTCGAGCAACAGGTTATCTAGTTGGTATTAAAACAGGGTTTATGTAGTATTGTTAGCGAATTTCCCATATAGGGAATAAGCTATTACCGTAGTACTCATGGTAAGACCTGGACGCGGGACCGATTTTTTTTTTCGTTTTGAGGTCCCTAGAGGCCAAAAACACCATCCGTTCAAATTCATATATATATATATATATTTATATATATAAAATATATATATATATGTGTCCGTCAGCACGATAACTCGAGCAAAAATGATCCGATTTTGATGAAATTTGGTACAAACGTGTAAACCTACGTCTATTCGAACGAGTTCGCGATCCAGCATGATCGGACCATGGGAACGGGTGTTTACGGGGGGTTTTATGGGGTAAAAATAGGTTTTTCCCAATTTTGACCCAAAAAACATAAAATTTAGCAATTAATTTCCAAACCATTTTGTAGAGCTTCAAAAAACAAATAATTTAGTATATTGAAGCGTTATTATGCGCCTAATGGTTACGGAGAAAATTCAAAAAAATTGTAAATTTAAAATTCCCATGTTATTCTTATGGAGAATGAGTAAACTGTTGTAGTTTGCTTGTTTATGAACATATTTTGATCAAATTTGGAAAATGTTTTTATTTCTTACTAACTATTAACATTTTACGAAAAAAAAAACAGTTTTACCCTCCCTGATGCAGCAAACCTAAGTACTTGTTAAACTAATTCTATTTAAATCGGGAATAAATGTTATATTTTTAAGTAGACATTTCAGTGTAAATCCAATCAGTCAAATGGAAATTCGCTTAGTCTGCAGGTTTGCTGCGGCGGGGGTATTTTTATCTTTAAATAACTTACACAGTCCAATACAAACCTGATGGTTTTAGGTGTTTGAAATCAGTCCAATTTTTTTTTCACGTTATGTAATATGTGACTCACAAACAACATTTTTTTCATTTAGAATATTATGAGATTTTTTCTTGCATTTAAATTTGTATATAGGTTCTTTGAACGCGTTTCCATTTACAAAGAGAATATGATACAATATTTTTAATCTTCCCTTTAAAAAAGCTTAATTATTATATTTGAATCTATAAAACTGGAAATATTTAGTCTCTAGGTCACTATGTACAAAAGTTGTTTTTTCTTATTAAACCTAGTTATATATTACGTTAATTTCAATATCAAACCCAAAGCTTACAATGATGCTGGGCCCAATCAATAGTTGTATTAACAAGCATACCTAGTTCAAGTAAGCATATCTGTGTTTCAAACAATTCCCCTTAAATGTTACAAATAAAAATTCATTCATTGAGGCAGCGGCGGAGAATCTTGAATGCATATTTTAAACTGGATATGAATCCACAGTGAGTGTAGAAAAAAACCCCTGCTGATGTTTCACACATTATTAGCCTTTTATAACCCAATGATTGTTTTTACAGTTCAAGAAATGGTTTCGGCACATGAAGAATACAAAGTTGGTCTGCATGAAAACACCCTGACATTAGTGACAGTCTACAGATTACCGTCTAATTTGGTTCTGGAATGCTACAAAGCTTCTAAACAGGAAGATTCGACATTTTATTCGGTGTTCTCCGATGCAGGAAAAACCCACGCTGTAACTATTAAAATGTTTGATTGTTCGTCAAAAGATAATTTTTTCAAAATATTATTTGTTGAAAGAATCAAATTTGATGAAAATAATTGGGTGACTGTAGTAGGAAGTCGAAGATCGGAAAATGATGAATGGTGTTCTTACGGTATTACACCAAAAATAAAAAATTATGAGACAACAACACCATTTGATGCTTGGGTCTACTATGACTTCAAGCCTAAGGATGGCCATTGGAATGAGGTAAGGACTTAGTTTTTTGGATTAACGGGTTTCAGACCTCAATTAGGTAGTTAATACTTAGTAATATTACACTTGAACACGAGGAAAACTTAAAAAATCTTGCCAGCTTTACTAGTAGATCGAACTTTATGGTGAATGTCACCGTTGAAACACCTTGACGTCATTCATCTTGTATGTGTTTAAAGTGTTTCTTAATGGTGCGTTTTTTCAGATTTCTGCAGACGCACTTTACACATCGCTTGAAGGTAAGAAATTTGTTGTTTAATTTAAGTTGAATTGTGAGACAGACAAAGTTTAATTGAACTGTGAAAAAACAAATAACCACGACACATTTCATTAAAGTCGTTCGACTTCGAACGTTTTTTTTTTTTTTTTTTTTTTTTTTTTTTGTTTCAGAGGACCCAGAACGTACATATCCCACCATAACTCAATCCAGAGAAGTTTTAACGAAAACTATACTTTATCAATATAACCTTTGGGGCAAAAAAAAATTGAAAATGGAATTTAGGAGTAAAAGATTCTAAATAAACAATTAAGTTAAAACATTAAAAAACTACTATAATTCTTTGGCCATATTTAGTATATGTTTCAAAGACTGTTTATGAACAACTTAGATCAAATTTACAGTAGAGATGACTTCTAATATGTAGGGTGAAAGTATTTCCCGTATAAGCATCTTAATTTGTTTTCAACGTAATAATCAAACAGACCCCCTCCCCCTTTGATTCTTCAGTAGTAAAGATATACGGTAAATTGGTCTTGGCTTATACATCATGTCACGCTATTCCAGAAAAACAGAAGAATTTTGCCTAATCAAGATAAATAGGCAGGTGTAAAGTATGTAAAACATATCAACTACATATTTGACACAGTTTCAAAGTAATGTAACAGCAACAGCGGTAATGTGTAACAAATATCAAGCTTTGTATGAAATAAACCTCTATATATTTCATTGTTATTTTTATAATTATTCTGATCTTAACTAAGTTTAAACAATAGTAATTACGAGGGACAGATTTTTTAAAATACAATGTTTAATGGTATATAAATTATTTATAAAAACTAGGTTACAAAACTCTTCAGGGGGTGGGGATTTTAGTAGACTGTGAATCAAAAGATTTCTTTTAGGCCTAATGTAAAATTCAATAAAATAATTTGGAAACAATAACAATAACTTAATTTAGCCAGATTTTGATTCTGATTATTTTTTTCTTTCCTTTTGTTGATGTTAATGAAAAGGAGGTAGGTCTAGTCCCAAAATAGATGCTGATGAAGTCTATATTATTAATTAATAATTAAATGGAATTTTCTCAACAATCTTCTTTAAATAATCTTTCTTCTGGATAATAGGCATAATTCTTCTTTCTTTATTTCCCTTTAGTTTATAATTTGAATTACTTTTTAATTTAATTTAGCACAACTAAGTTAAAATATTAACTGATTATCTCTTCTTCATGGAAACCTTAACTGCACTGTTCATTGTTGACAATCATTTCTTTACTTTTTATGCGGTGGGGCACACGGAAGATTTCTCAGGTGCCGTTTGACACTTTGACGTCACTAACTGACTAACTGCTGACGTCACTAACTGCTGCGTCTGAAGAAACAGACAATTGTATAATTTGTCTATTATTAAATTAAACTGTCATAACCTAACCAAACTAACCAAACGTGCTGATAGTGAAAAAATCGAATGAAGGTTTACTAATCTAAAAAATAGTTTTGTTAATAAAATAAAATTATAAATGCCAAAATTCAATTTTTTAATTTTTCAATTATAAAATGAAACTGTCATAACCTAACCAAACCAACCAAACTTGCTGATATGAAAAAATTGTTGACAAAAAGCTAGTGCTTCCAGCGGGATTCGAACCCGGTACTTTAGGAAGGTACATCAGCCCGACACGCTATCCACTACACCACCGAGGCCGATAGCTCACCCGTATCGTTGCGGTAATGGTGTTCCCTCAAAGTGACGTCAGCAGTTATTGACAAACGGCACCTGAGAAATCTTCCGTGTGCCGTTTTGACTTTCTATGGGGTTCACACATTTAAAACATGTGTTGAAATTTGTTTGTAATCTTGAACCCAGCTACATGGTATTTTAATTGTAGAGGTAGTTTGTAATAATAATTTTGATAAGCCAATGAATAAATTATGATTAAATTATATATATGTCGAGACAATATGGTTTTACTAATATTAACACAGGTTATTTGGGGAAATCTAGGCAAATAAATTGTTAAAAATTTTTTATAAGATAAACATGACCAAATATTAAAAATATAAACAAAATTTAGTTTGGAATTTAATTAATGACGATATTTACAAACATTGGTTTTTGAGTCATTACATGTAATAGTGATAATTTATTATGGCTAGAGGTAGAAAATAAACATAAAAATACTAAGTGTTTCACATAAGTTTAACTTTTCAGTTACAGCCAAAAACATAAAAACATCCTATGATTTCCTGCCTGAAGCCGAACCAGTTGCAAGATATCTATCATTAGAGTCGAAATACACTTTGGAAGATTACAAGTTTCTGGAATGCTATTTAGAAAATGAACGACGACACGTTGGAGTTATAAAGTCTTCGAAAAATAAAGTTATAGTTTCAATAACAGGTTTTCCCTGCAAGTCGAATTCGGACTTGGATATAAAATCGTATATACATTTCGTATATAACAAAAGAGAGAGAGAAAATTACGTTACGATAGGAAGTCGTGAAACTGCCGAAGACCATTGGTTCTGCTACAATATGTGTTTGGATTGCCAAACACGGACGAGAAAACACAAGACTTACATCTTGGGATGTGAACCCGACATTGAAAATATTGTTAAGTGGTCACAGGTGAGTTTTAGGATAATGTTTAGGCACTCTATATCTAAGTCATACGGAGGATTTTTCCTTCTAAAATTCCCATATGTTTATCCTAAAATCGAGTGAAGCGTTGCGCTTTATGAATTCACAACAGTTATAAGCGACTCAATCATAGCCTCCTGGAGTACAAGGCCGTGGCGAGACCAAAGCGGCAACGTCGCAGTCTCGGCCTACCAACTACCACTACAGCTGTTGCACTATTCATAATGAAATTTCTGTTCAATGTTTAGGATTCTACGTTTGTTATAACTATCATTACCATGGTATAGCATCCGCGGCTGTGTGAATTGGCGCGTAGCTAGCGTGACCAGCGATGCCGCCGTGGCGTACATCCAGCCATGCACTCCACGTGCGGTGGGACCTTAATGCCATGGTCTTGTATTAGAGCACAGAAAACGTACTACTAGTACGTTTTCTGTGATTAGAGGCAGCTACCATTCCAACAGTATTGTAAGTGATGAGTACAGTATAACATTTTCTGTTTGAATGTTAATGTTGCAATACACTGAAGTCATGCTATTTATGTTACTCTATATTTTTGTTCTACATAACGCACTTTCCACTTGTTGATTTCCTTAAATTTGAGTCGTAACTAAAATGTGTTTTTCAGGCTGCCGTCCCTTGGAAACGAGTTGATGACACAAGTACGTGAGGAGAAACAATAATTTTATCAATATTTATTTCACTAATTACTTAATATATTGAGTAAAACATTTTTATAAAATAATCTTAAGCACCGTATTCAATAATTAAAATAACCTTTTGAAAGAAACAGTTCATGGTATCGTAAAATGGGTAACTAAAATCCTGTGGTAGGCCTAGTGTTGTACAATGAAACATTTTCAATATTCTCAAAAAGAGTTTAAGATTAATACATGTTGGAGATTCGCCAAGTAAAAGTACTGGTAGTAAAAGTTTAAGTAATATGTTTTGATCCGAATCGCTCGCCATATAAACCCATTATTAATGTTAAATATAGTTTTAATCTTTTAGTTGTAAGATAAACAAATTTTAGTGTGATTCTGTGGTAACTTACTATAAACAAATAGCTTTGGTTTAAGAAACATCGTTAAGTTTTAGGAATGTACTAACCTCATTGCGTTTAAATAAAAATAGTGAGTTTCATCTGAGATACTTCAGACGTGGATTACAATCAAATAAACTGTTTCATACAATTATGAAATATAAAACACCCTAGAATAGGCATAGAAACTCTTTACCCCTTGTATTTTTATGTCTTACCTTCACATCCTTAGGACGCTTTATTCCAGTCTGGAACTGTTCTCAAGCATTACTTCAGGCTACTCCAAGAGGGTCGCGGTGTTATCACATAGATTACAATCAAATGATTGATGGATTGAACCCGTGACCTCGGGCTCCGAAGCTCCGTGCTCATCGATTGGACCAGTTCTCTCGCCACCTCATGATAATACAATGAGTAAAACCAGTAAATAAAGAAGTAAATAAGGATGCTGTTAATAACCACAGTATAATAAAAATATCCACAAACTATCTTCCAATTGTTCAATACCAATACAGTCACCTAGTTAAAATCCGTCGTGGACCTGAAACCGGCTACAAATAATATCCATGCCGGTATAAGAACTGTGATGGAAGACATAACTTTCCTGTACTCTTCTATAGAGTTTAATGACCGGTCCAAAGCGACAATTACAAATAAAGATAACATATTTGCTAAATACACACCACAACATCACACTTGGTAGTTACACAATTATATATAGCCTGTAATTCTGTCAAACACAATGTTTTTGTATCATAATTGTTGTCGATTTTTAGCGAATTTCCCATATAGAGAATAAGCTATTACCGTAGTACTCATGGTAAGACCTGGACCCGGGACCGATTTATTTTTTTTTTCATTTTGAGGTCCCTAGAGGTTAAAAAACACCATCCGTTTAAATTCATATACCCGGCGGGGGTATTAAGTAGTTATATTGGCCTGAGCTACTTTGTAAAACTGTTGTTGTACTGAAAGACGCTCGGAAAAAGGCATTTCTATTTATTTATTTTTTTTAACCACAATACCACACTTGATAGATACACCACTACACCACACTTGCTATATACACCACAATACCACACTTGATAGATACACCACTACACCACACTTGCTATATACACCACAATACCACACTTGCTATATACACCACAATACCACACTTTATAGATACACCACTACACCACGCTTGCTATATACACCACAATACCACACTTGATAGATACACCACTACACCACACTTGTTATATACACCACAATACCACACTTGATAGATACACCACTAAACCACACTTGCTATACACAACAATACCACACTTTATAGATACACCACTACACCACACTTGCTATATACACCACAATACCACACTTGATAGATACACCACACTTACTATTTACACCACAAATACCACACTTGATAGATACACCACTACACCACTCTTGCTATATACACCACAAATACCACACTTGATAGATACACCACTACACCACACTTGCTATATACACCACAATACCACACTTGATAGATACACCACTACACCACACTTGCTATATACACCACAATACCACACTTGATAGATACACCACTACACCACACTTGTTATATACACCACAATACCACACTTGATAGATACACCACTACACCACACTTGCTATATACACCATAATACCACACTTGATAGATACACCACTACACCACACTAGTTATATACACCACAATACCACACTTGATAGATACACCACTACACCACACTTGCTATATACACCACAATACCACACTTGATAGATACACCACTACACCACACTTGCTATATACACCACAATACCACACTTGATAGATACACCACTACACCACACTTGTTATATACACCACAATACCACACTTGATAGATACACCACTACACCACACTTGCTATATACACCATAATACCACACTTGATAGATACACCACTACACCACACTAGTTATATACACCACAATACCACACTTGATAGATACACCACTACACCACACTTGCTATATACACCACAATACCACACTTGATAGATACACCACTACAACACACTTGCTATATACACCACAATACCACACTTGATAGATACACCACTACACCACACTAGTTATATACACCACAATACCACACTTGATAGATACACCACTACACCACACTTGCTATATACACCACAATACCACACTTGATAGATCCACCACTACACCACACTTGCTATATACACCACAATACCACACTTGATAGATACACCACTACACCACACTTGTTATATACACCACAATACCACAGTTGATAGATACATTACAATACCACACTTGGTATCTATGATTTTTTTATGAAAAAATCACAGTTTAAAAAATCTAAATAAAAAAATAAGACACCTGGAGATATCATGAATTAGTACCTACAAAAACAAATTTTCCCACTATAGCACTTTTGGTGTTGTCTATAGCCTATACACATCCACGTATACAGAAAGACACATACACGCACACACAATGACAAGCATAACTTCGAAAACCACTTTTTTGGTGTTATGGGGGCCCAAAACAGGGGTAAGGGTACACAGAAAGAACGATCACGGTCCAAAAAAACGAATTTTTAGGTTATGATGGCTTTTGAAAGCTATGACGTAGATGTATGACCATGTGTAAATGTTTCAATGAATATTCGATCAGGGTCCTCGTTATTCACGTTTGAAGTTTTAGTACACAGAGAAGTAACGATCAGGGTCACCAGCGAACAGAGAAGTATCAGTCATAGTCCAAATGACTCAATCAGCTGCTCAGCGCTCAAGTCACCAGTCGCACGAACCTAACCCTACTTTTAGTAGTGCAGTCACTCCAGTCAGTCTGATGTGTTGGTGTGTTGGTCTTATATGAGTGTTGGTTTATTTGCTTAACAGTGTTTTAAGATTATTTCTTGTGGCAATGAGGGATGAAGTGAGTGATGAAGGTGAAGATACAAGTGTTAGTGAGAGTGTCTCTATCAAAAAGCGGAAATATAGAAGTATGTTCGAAGCCTCTTAAAAACTTAGAAATTCAACCTACGAAACTGGCGTTGACTGTCACTGTTACTCGCTACAAATGTTTCGAAAATGTTTCACAAGAAGAGAGGGGTGCCTTAATTCGACATTTTAATGATTTAGCGGATAGGAATGCCCAAACTGCGTACTTATCAGGCATGGTTAGTGTTAAGACGATTAACCGTAGACGACCCAGGCAGGCTGAACAGGATGAAAAATTAAATAATTTTTCATATTCCTACAAAGTAAGAGTTAGTAGGGACACTTGCTTGGCAGAAGTGCCTGTTTGTTATAAGGGCTTTTTATCGATATTTGGTATTACAAACCGACGTCTTCAAACTATTAAAGATTCACTTGCATCAACTGGATTAGCACCTATTGATAAACGTGGCAAACACAAAAACAGGGGGAAAAACAAACTACCACAAGAAACGTACAATGCAATGGATGATTTTTTTAAATCCCTAAAGGGACGTAAAGCTCACTACAGTTTGAAAGATTCGAAAAAATTGTATCTTTCTGAGCACTTAAACTACAAAAAATTGTTGGAACTTTTTTTACAGAAAAACATTGGTATTGAAATTTCGTATTAAAAGTTTAGGCAATATGCTCAAAACAACTATAACTTTGCCTTCGGCCATCCTCGTTCTGACACATGCAGCACATGTGATGCTCAGAAAGCACAGGAGACAAACATTCAGACACTTAAATGTAATGCAACCGATTTGAATGAAATTAAAAAACTAGATGAGCAACTGAAAACTCTAAAAACTGAAATGGAGTTACATAAAAGAAAAGCAGACAGTTTCTATGCGGAAAAAAATCAGCTAGGAAGCGTGCAATGAAAATTAAAGAATTTGAAGCAATCACAATGGATTATGGCAAGAATCTTCCTATTCCAAATATATCTACAGGGGAAGTTTACTACAAACGACAACTTAGTTTTTATATGTTTAACATTCATATTCTTTCAAATGGCACATCTGTATTTTATACGTTTGACCAAACTATAGCTAAAAAGGGAAGTGATGATGTAGCTTTGCAGATGTACAGTTTTTTCATGAACATTCTAAGCCCTGATGTCCGAGAAATCCACATTTTTTGTGACTCGTGTGGAGGGCAAAATAAAAATAAGACTATTATAAAGTTTTTACACTATGTAACAGTAGTTCTGAAAAGGTTTGACAAGATCACAGTAACATACCCGATCAGAGGACACTCATACATGGAGTGTGACAAAAATGTCGGCCTCATAAATCAAAAAACCCTGCGGAAACACCAGAAGACTGGCGAAATGCAATCGCTAGCGCAAGAGTGAAGCCTAGTCCTTTTATTGTTGTGGATTGTAATAAGGAAATGTTTTATGCTTGGGGAAAGGCTTTGGCTACTAACTACCAAATGAAGTTCAACGCAGAAACCCGTCCTATCAAACAGATGATATTATTCAGATCTGAAAACACGCAGACAGTCCAGAATCGTGATACATACAATGGTGCTTTTAGCTCCACAGCTATCGTCAAGAAAGGACAAAAGAAGAATAATAAAAATGAACGACCACCTACAAGAAGTACAGCTTGAAAAAGCGTATGATGGACCGATTCCTTTGTCAAACGAGAAGATTAATGACCTTCAATCTTTAAAACGGTATTGCAGACAAGAAGCTCAGGATTTTATAAACTCACTTCACCACCAACGGCCAGGCAACGTTGGAGAAGATGACGAAGCAAGAAACAGTGATTTTTAAAGGTAAGATTAGGTATTGTTTAGTCTTTAGTAAAATCAGGAATGTATATTATTAGATTTAACAATATTTTGTTGTATTTCAGATTTAAGACTCGAGCAAAAGAAGACAAATAGTTCCCAAGCTTGTGCTTAGCAAGTTAACCTTCAAACATTAATAGGTCTTCTTGCAATAACTTTTATATAATTATTTCATTTGTATATTTCATTAAAAACAATTTTTATTTTATAATATTAAGTTAATGTTTCAATTTAACATTTTTAAGATTAAACTCTTTACTAAACTGGTTTTATTAATTTTATTCCATACTCAAATAGATTAAATCCAGAGTAATAACGATCAGAGTCCATGCCATGATACAATAAAACTTTTTTTGGGAGGTTTAATATGGAGCTACATTTCATAATGTACTTTACTTTTACAAACAGATAGTACTCCAAAGTAATACATATGCAAAAGTAAACTTAAAATTAATAGTTAAGAAAGTATAATGTTTTAAAATTTTAAAACGCCCTCCTGAAAAATATTGGTTTTTGGACTGTGATCGATCTTTCTGTGCACCCTTCGTATATATCCACTCAAAACTCAAACTCGACCATTTTGACGAAAACAATACTTTATCCGTATCCACCACACTATTCAATATTCTTAATTATAGGAGGGAAAGTAAAAACGTATAATTAATATTTATAACTCATTAATCTTTCTTACAGGTCTTGATGATGAAGACGTCATTAGTAATTATTACTACGAACTACAATATTATAATATTATAATTATGCATCTGTCCAAAACTGGCTTTATACTCAGAAATTCGCTTGGAACACATTTTTCACCCATAGTTTTAAAAGATTTGAATGACATTAAAAAAGTATACATGGGATTCTTTGAAGGAAAAAAAGAAACAAAGGGATATGATTACATTGATTGTGAAGATATATCGTGTATAGAACAGCTGACGAGAGATGACAAGAAAATTTGGCTCTTTTTTTACGAGTTTGGTCAAAGGGCATCGTACCGATACTCCTATATCGTGGTAAGTGTTACCTCTTACTCTTTTAGTTAGGACACCAAAGCACTTTTCATGCGTATAGAAATGGGAATATGAAAGGATGGAGAATGGAACGGTCATTGATTTGTCATTTTAGCAAATTTCTTAAATTGGGAATAGATACACTTGATTTTAGTATGATTCATATTGTTGATTTTGGAATATCACTATGCTATCTATTCCCAATTAAAGAAAGTACGGCACAGCAGATTTGCATACCAAGCAAAGTTTGCTTTAGTCTACTTTTGAATAGCGATCTTACATGGATACGTAGATAACACTTTAGCTTAGAATGGAAATATGTTAAGAATAGTTTTGCCATTGGTGTAGCTAACCTCAACGTTTTTACATTTGTATTTACCGAGTTTAATCCTGTTTCAGAAATACGAAGACAGGGAAGGTTGTCAGTCTATAATAGATAGTGAGTAGTCCTAATTATTTAATTAACTATATTTGAATACATACTAACACTTAACATGAACTCTATAAGCATGAAATTTAACGGTAGTGTAACAAGTTATTGTAAAGATATTAAGATGGAATGCATAAAACACGGAGTATGAACAGTAATTTGGAAAAGGACATTTTGACTGACCAAATAAGTGAAACTTTGTTTTGCACAGATTATAGTATAGAAAGCCTTACTTTGGTGCGCAGTTTTTACTTTGGCACACAACAGTATTCCAACGAAACAACACAAAACAGTGTGCTTTTATTATGCATGTAATCCGTGTACGCTTGAAAATAAGTTGGCAACTAAGAGGTTAGAGATATTATAGGTTGATATATAGGTTAGAGATATTACGACTACGATCAGCTGGTGCAGCGTTTCCCAATTCGTTCGGATTTAACCTAACGTAAAAACGTGTTGAACGGTGTTTGAAAAACTAAGTAAATGACAAACCATAAACAATAAAATTACTAAAAGTTACTATTAAATTAATTTAATTAATTGGTTTTGATGAAATTTGGTTTGGGAAAATTTAATTTGTAACACGAGTGCAAACTGCCTTTGCTGCACTCGAGAAACTTTCCACACTCGCCTACGGCTCGTGCGTAAACATTTCTCTCGCCCACTAGTTACACAAATAACTATTTCGATTATTATATAAAACATTTTGGAATCCATACAATATGAGTTTAGCGATATTTGTTTTGTAACCGGACTTATATAGTAGTTCCAACAGTATTGTATACCATATAGCGAAGTAGTCATTACCGTAGGTGGCACGGTAAGACCCTTACCCAGGATTCATTTTGATGTCCCTAGAGGCCAAAAACACTATTCGATCAAATTTGTATGTATGTATACATGTACATAATTTATACATACATTTATATTTATATACGTCCGTGAACCCGAAAACTTGAGTAATTTTTTTCGGATTTTGATGAAATTTGGCTTGAAGGTGTTAGGTGGGATAAACTTGAATGAGTTCGCCAATTTAGCATGATCGGGCTATTGCAACAGGGTTTTACGGGGTGTTTTTTGGGTAAAAATTGGGTTTTCACATTTTAAACACTTAAAACTAAAATTTCCCAACTCCTTCTTTAAAATTTTTAAATAGCTAAAAAACAAATAATTTAGTATATTGAAGTGTTTTTTACGGTTATTGGTTACGAAGAAAATTTTATAAATCGTTTATATAAAATTACCATGTTATTCTTATGGGGAATAAGTAAACTGTGGAGTTTGCTTGTTTATGGATATATTTTGTTAAAACTTGGCAAATTTATATTTTATACTAAGCTATTCATATTTCACAAAAAAACACTTTATCCTCACTGTAGCAGCAAACCTAGGAACTTGTTAAACATAATGTTATTTAAATAGATTTAATTGAAAATCAAACCAGGCAAATGGAAATTCGCTTAGTCTGTAGGTTTGCTGCTGCGGGGGTATTTTGTACTTCAAATGATCAGGTAATCATTTAAATTTAAAATATCAATACATGCAACATAAATATAAATGGTAAATGTTTTGCCTCTGATGTACTAAGTCAAGGTTTTGTTATCAGGAAAGAAATTAGGAAAAGGCAAAACATTTGGACACGAGCTATGTTCTGATGAGGATATCACGACTTACACCACAAACTTCAACCCAGGACTCACAATGCGTTGTTGCACAAAGGAAAACACAGCTGTTGTTGAAAATGATTTCTTGACATTGAAGGACTTTGATTGTTCAAGTAAGGTTAACATAAAGAATTTACTCATGTTTACCTCCAGCGCGGAGAAAGTAAACAAGGAACTAATTTATGGAGTAAGAAAAGGAGACAAAGTAGTGTGTTGGCACAATATGGTCAGAACTAAAGAAAAACTTTATACTAATGTTCTCATCAACTACAAACCTGAGGTTGATCCACCGCATCAGTGGTACGAGGTGGGTAACCATTTTGTGTTTAAAACACGTAGGCGAATGTTACTCGTGAACCCGACCAATGTGGACATTTTCTCTGTACACATAAAATATTCTTTCATATTATTTTTAGCGAATTTCCCTATAGGGAAGTAGCTATTACCGTAGGTCTCATGGTAAGACTTAGGCCCGGGACCAATTTACTTTTTCATTTTGATGTCCCCAGAGGCCAAAAACACCATTCGTTTAAATTTTTTAGATGTATATATATATATATATATATATATAGATTTATATATATATAACTCTTTAAGAGTTCGAATGTCAGGCCATCGTTTTGATGTGGTACATGAAGACAAGAGAAAACCAATCTATAATCATGCCGCTCACCACAACCAAAATTTTGAAGGCTGCTATACCCTTAAAGCCCTTCACAAAGTAAACCCACATCAAAACCCTAAATGCAACCAACTGGTTTTAAGAAATTCTGAATTGGCTCACCAGTTGGTACTGAAAACAAAGTTCCCCTCTGGTTTAAATTTAAGATAGTAAAAAGGTGATTCAACTCAGCTGAATTTTAATTTTCCTTTAGGCTGATTTTATTATTTTCTTTGATCTGTACTCAATCATATGTTCTCAAAATTAAACTACTGTATTTGTAAACAGTTCATATTTATTATTTGTTCATCTTTACATTTTTCATTCTCTTTGCTTGAAAACGTTTGTATTAAACGAAAATTTGCAATGTTTCATGTTTCATTTATCATAAACTCTATCAAGATCTCCTCAAGAATATATATAGGTACCCATATATATATATATATATATATATATATATATGTGTGTGTGTGTGTGTGTGTGTATATATATATATATGTCCTCGAACACGATAACTTGAGTAATTTTTATACGATTTTGATGAAATTTGGTTTGAAGGTGTAAGGCGGGATAAACTTGAATGAGTTCGCGATCCAGCATTATCGGACCATGGGAACAGGGTTTTATGGGGTAAAAATGGGTTTTTCTCATTTTTGAACCTCAAAACATAAAATTTCCCAATTTTTCTCTAAACCTTCTTAAAGAGCTTAAAAAAAAACAAACAATTCAGCATATCAAAGTGTTTTCATATGGTTATTAGTTACGGAGAAAACTAAAAAAATTGTAAATTTAAAATTCCCATGTTTTTCTTAAGGAGAATGTTGTAAAATGTTGTAGTTTGCGTGTTTATGGATATATTTTGATCAGACTTGGCAAATATGTTAATTTTGTACTAAGCTATAATTATTTTACCTAAAAACACACTTCCTTGTAGCAGCAAACCTATGTACTCGTTACGCCTAATGTTATTAAAATAGATAAATTGAAAATCAGTTTAGCCAAATGGAAATTCGCTTGGACGGCAGGTTTGCTGCGGCTGGGGTATTTTTCATTATTAGTAATTTTTAGCAACGTATTCTTCGCCATTTATGTAATGTGATACACACATGTTATACACAGGCTAACCCTCATGTTATACTGGACATTTATTTTAAAACGCAACCCAAATGAAAAGTACCTTAAGATGCGTTTTAACGACAAAACATCCTTACATGTTGGTATCCCAGTTTTTTGTACTTCATTTTCAATCAGCTGATATGCATTTTTGCATAGTTATATGAGTTTTAATGTAATTAAGAATTGGTTGTGAATAAGTCTCGAAGTGTGGATTTCGCATGCTCAAAAAAAATGTATTGCACATTAAAAGTAAATCATTGGCATTATGCCAAGATAGGCTTGAAGTTAAGTTTGCAATTGCAATTCCAGTTCCTGAAAAAAAACAATCGTTTTTATAATTTTCAAAAACTAGCAAAATCAGTTATGGAAAAAACAAAAAACGTAAACCTATATGCATACTCTATTTGAGCTTGCGAAAACAAAAAAAAAAAAAAAATCAAAAAATCAAAAATCACTTTATTCACATATATAAATACAGGAATACATTATCAGGGTAAGAATAGTATTCCCCCGAATGGACTGCAAGTCCGTGCTCGAGGGAAGAGCTCTTACCAGCAGGAAATAAGTTTTGGTTATTGTCCATAGGTCAAAAAAATGTGCACACTGTTTATAAATAATGTGTACATCTGTACTTAATACGTATCAGGAGCTTTTAATAAATGTATATATATGCTATATAAATATATTGTATACTAGAATTAATTAACAATAAACAGCCTTAAGCAACAATAAAAATATTAATCTATGAAGAAAAATTTATTTTGATAGCTATTATGGCGGCGTTTGATGTCAGAGATTAATTTAAATGTAAGGCGAGCGAATTAAAGCCTCTGCAGCCTCTCTTCCCACAGTCATCAGCCACTCACAGACCTTGCTTTTATACACAGCGACACTGCCTGATTCAGCATCAGTTATGTTGGGCGGCAAGTTGCGATAAAGGATGTGAGCTATGTAAAACACGTTATTTTTCAAGGAACTATATGCTAGTTGTGGAGTGCGGTATCCAAAGTTATGCCTGTGCCTAGTGTGATAACTGTGTTGTAAGTTAGAAAAAATAATTTCCTTGTTGTTCTTAATGAAAAGTAATAGTGTTTTGATAAACAATTGTCTAATATTTAAAACTGGGAATTCGGAAAAAAGTAAACTTGTTGAATAATGTTTTGGCCTTTTAAGAATAATTTTGATTAAGGTTTTCTGGGTTACGTGAAGAGGAGCCAATGTGGCAGCAGATACACCGCCCCACGCCAGTATGCCATACTGCAGCACAGACTGCACGTATGCATAGTAAACGTATCTGCAGTGATCAACCGTTAACACACGGCTTAGTTGATAAAAGGCGTAGACCAGTTTCCTCAATCTTTGCTTTACATAGATAATATGAGGAGACCATGTCATCCTTTGATCAATGATCACCCCAAGGTACTTGTATTGGTCCACACGATCGACTGTGTCACATCCGCAGGTATTAGACCACAGATCGCCACATGAATGAAGATAGAGTTTTCTAGGGCCAGGGTCACGAGTTCGAGATAAGAAAACTGGCATGCACTTGGTTTTTGATACATTCAATGTCAATGTGTTATGATCCAGCCAATTTTTTATTTTAAGTAAGTCAGATGCAGCTTGATGGTAGACATCATCCCACGTATTACCCGAGGACACTACCGCTGTGTTGTCAGCAAAAAGAAACAATTTACCATTGACTCTTAATTTAGTAATGTTATTGATATATATTAAAAAGAGAAGAGGGCCTAGGTTACTTCCTTGGACGACACCATAGTCAATGTTAGTGATATCACTATTTTCGCCATTGATAGTAACGAACTGTGATCGACCAGTCAAATAGCTGCGGAACCAGTCAAGTGATGGGTTGTCAACGCCTATCAACTGCAGTTTTGTGATTAATTTATGCCTATCAATAGAATCGAATGCTTTTGCCAAGTCTAAAAAGGTTACAAGCACACGTTTTTTATCATCAATTTTTTCATAAATATGTTTTGAGATATTAAATAAGGCATGGGTAGTGCTTACGTTAGCTCTGAACCCAAACTGTGCGTTGTCAATGATATTATTTTCCTCGAGGTATCTATACAACTGTTGCTTGACACATTTTTCAATTATCTTGGACACCACGTTGAGTCTTATTTACGACAATATAATTCAATAACTCTAAAATCCATGAGTAACTACGCAACAATTTCATAAAGTTGATTAGTAATTAATTCAAGAATACAGGGATACCAACATGTAAGCTGTTTTTTTTCGGTAAAAGGTGTCTTGATGTAGTTGTGATTATTTAGGTTGCATTAAAAAACATCCTGTATATGTGGTAATAAATTCCGTGTTACATTTTAGCTGAATTCGGTTAAGAATTGTATAAACAATAGTTACGAAAAAATATTACTAATGTTTAGTTACAATAATAATCAATCATTGATACTGAAAGTTTTCTAATAAAGTTAATTGTTTCAGGAGGATTCAAACAATTGCCCTTTCGACACAAGTAAGTTTGTTAAGATTACTTGCTTATTTTAAAGATGGAGGAGGGGATTGCGGCTTTTTAAGCCGGGTTTTCATGTTACATGCCAGTTAATGAGACAAGTTTCGGAAGACAACTGACTGACATGAAATTATTGGCTTCGTGTAAACACATTTGCCTTGCCAACTGCCCTCACAATTGCCCCAAAATTCAGTTGTCTCCGAGAGTAGACTGAGGACAATGAGCTGGGCCCAGCGAGGCCCCCACCACCCGAAAACCCAGTTGTCGCGACCATTAGCGCTGTGTAAACGGTGTTGGCCAATAGCGCTGTCTTGTCTTTTGGTAGTTGTATACTAATTCACTTTCAAATGCCTAGGCAATTGTTGGCCATGTGTGAACAGGTTCTCGTTCAACTTGACAAGCTTACGACAAGTCCGCAAAAACGCGATGACGATTGGTTAAGACAATTGTCTCGCCTACTGGCTTCGTGTAAACCCGGCTTTGCTATGCTAGGCCCTGTTGACTGAGGCTTTTCAACCAGGGTAGGGTTCCATAAGTAGTTTTACCCTCGAGAAGGGTGTTATTATACTAGGGAACCATCAAAGTCGTTTGTTATCAATTATTTTTAACCAGAATATAGTCATATCAGTTATTTTTTGGAAGGACATTTGATAGACGAAAGTTATGTTTTGCAGGCTTGTTTTAATTCTAATAACTGGAACAGATATTTATAAACCTGCCAATAAGTTTTATTCGTTGTTAAATATATTTTGCAACCTACTTTTTAATGCTTCTTAAAGTACGGACTATTTCACCCTCCTACTAATTCGGACTAATTAAACACCTAATATTTAATTATTTGAAAACTAAACGCAGTTATTATCTTTTATCCCATGTCAATAGATGGAAGTTTTATGGAATCTTCTTCACTTAACTTGGGAAACGGCTTATTCCACTGAATAAGCAAAAAATAAAAACTGAATAAGCGGCTTGAAAGAAAAATGTATAATAATATTCTGTATACCTAATGAAACATATTTTGTAAAATGGTGATTGCCGTATGTACGAATAAATAAATAAATAATTTTACTTAAAACCCAATTGAAGAAACCTCATTTATTTGTGTTTTCCTCGGGTTACGCCTGTTTACTTATTGAGCGTCAAATTGTTATACTGCACTTGAGCAATTGTTAACATACACCTCCTTTAACTTCGTACTGACTTGGACAACATTCAATAAAATCTAGTGATTCGCTTATATCCTGTTTTCCGTCATGGTATTATGCATTTCAAAAGAATGGGTTATGGTTACCTAAATTTTACTGTTTTATATTTTGAAATAAATATGGTTTACCACATTGTATGCAATTTGCTTTGTAGTGGTTGATGTTAAATGATTCGAAGCAATATCTGAAGTAACACATTCCTCCCTTTTTCCTGGGGTTACATAATTCAATTATTTAGTTATTTTATTTATTCCCTTACATTTTTCTACCTTGTCAATGAGTTAACCAAGCATTCACTCTATCAGGCCTACACAAAATCTCAAGTGTAACTAAGAAAATGCATCACTGAACAACGTTGTGTAGGCCTAATCTATTCCCAAATAATACATTTTCGTTTGTTTTTTTTTTAGAGAAGGACATACTTTTTAAGAAAGTACCTGAACTCAAGAACACACAAGAATCGAGCAATAAGAAAATAACATACTTAGCCATGACGAAAAAATTCGCAGTAAAGTTAGAATGCTACGAAGACAATGACGGAAAGTTTTATTCTTCAGAAATCCTACTGAGAGGAGAAGATTTGGTTTTATTTTCCGTTGAAGTTAAACGATTGGAATGTTCATCTAAAAGCGATCTTCAAAAGTTGCACGTGTCTTCATGGAAAGGACTCTCTGAAGATTACTTGTCTGTTGGAATCCAGGTTGAGTCGAGGTGGTGTCGTTACGACGCATGCGTCACTTGCAAGTCGCAAAACTTCAGACTTAACATTGACGAAGATAAGCCAAAGGAAACGCGGTGGTCAGAGGTACGAAATCTGAACAACGTTGTTGAGTAGATAAGGATACACGCTCCAAAATGGTAGCCCGTCAAATGTTGTGGAAAATCAATGGTAATATTGGTTCGTAATGGTAATATTGGCTACCATTTTGGATAGAGAAGAGATAGCGAACTCTGGTTTTCACCATTCTTTAAGTTTTTGTAAACACTTCAAAATGAGGTGTCGCTTGATGGGGGTTTACATTTAAAAAGTTTTGAGTTGCCCCCCAAATCCCATAAGGGGTTATGGGGGACGCTCAACAATTTTACAATCATAAAATAAAACTTCCTTCTAAGGTTGCATGACCACCAAAAGGATATCTCTGTATATTTATTTAGAAAAATATTAGAGAGGGGGCTCTTGACTTTGTATTCACCCGGTATAAATATACCTAGTCAACTTAAACCAAGAATTAATCAAGCAGCAAGAATATTAGAACAGAAACGGCATTTGACGTCACTAGCCCGGATGCAAATATGTTTGTATTATCGCTCAAACCATACGTTTTGTTATTATTGGTTCAAGCTAATGACATAATTGATTTATGTTTACGAGCCATACATTTTACTATTACAGTTTACTATTATTATCCGTGATAACAGTTACAATCATTCCTTAAAGTCAACAGCTGTTCTTATGCCTTTTTTGTTCATGTGTAAAATACTGCTTCCAAGGATTACATTGAAATTTTGAGAGCCTGTAGGCGGATTCCATAGAGAATTTGTTTAACGCCATATCGATTTTAGCACTCACTGATATAGTCTTTATCGCCATGCAAAATTTGAAAATAATTGCTTCAGCCGTCTAGGCGGAGTTTGCGTATTACGAAATGCACGAGAGTTGACGACTAATAGTCTAGGCATATTAGGAAAGTTAGCAGAAAGTTTAGGTACAGTCCTAATCATCACTTTTCTTTATGTTTTTTGGGTCGCTGAACACGAATATGAGGTTTGCTGACAGATATTTTGCCCGGAACATTGGTTATTTTGTGAAAAACCTTAAAATTTGGGCACTTTTTTTGGTTATTCGGGCAAATCTCGGTAAGTATGGGTTTTTGAGAAAATCCTGCTTTGTAAAATTAAAGATGACTAAATTTACTACAAGTTTCCTATATAATGTTTGTTTCTACGACGAACCGTTTCGCCACTAGAGCACACTAAAAATGGCCAGAAGTACAAAAAATTAAAAACATTGCTAAATGCTACCGTTTTACATTACGTTTCCATGGAAACAACCCATGTTACGATAATTTTAACTATTTATTCATGATAACAAACTGAAACACACTTAAAAATACCCCCGCCGCAGCAAACCTGCAGACTAAACGAATTTCAATTTCCCTGATTGGATTTACACTAAAATGTCTCCTTAGTAATATCACATTTATTCCCTATTTAAATAAAAGTTTGACGAGTACTTAGGTTTGCTGCAACCGGGAGGGCAAAAAGGTTTTTTTTGTAAAATGTAATAATTTAGTATGAAATGAATCCATTTTCCAAATTTGATCAAAATATGTTCATAAACAAGCAAACTACAACAATTTACTTAGTCCTTATAAGAATAACATGGGCATTTTAAATTTACAAATTTTTGGAATTTTCTCCGAAACCATTAGGCGCATAACAAAGCTTTAACTTAAACGCTTAAACTATTTGCTTTTTAAGCTCTACAAAATGGTATGGAAAGAAATCGCAGCCATTTTTTTTAGTTTATATGGTCAAAAATAGGAAAAACCCATTTTTACCCTATAAACCCCCCATAAATCCCTGTTCCCATAGTCCGATGTAAAACCAAAAATAAAAATAACCCCTAACCGTTTTACAAAGGTTTTACATTGGGTTTCCATGGAAACAAAGCAGGATTTTCTCAAAACCCCATACTTACTGAGATTTGCCAAGAGAACCAAAAAATGTGCCCAAATTTGAAGGTTTTTCACAAAATAACCAATGTTCCGGGCAAAATATCTGTCAGCAAACCTCATATTCGTGTTCAGCGACCCAAAAAACATAAAGAAAAGTGATGATTAGGACTGTACCTAAACTTTCCGCTAACTGTCACTTATATTCCTAATATGCCTAGCCTATAAGAGCTTGGCACACTCCGGTCAATAATGTATAAACAGTAATATCTGTTAATACTAATAACTAATATGTTAATATGTTAATATTACTAATAACTACTATATACTAAAAACCTAGAAAACATTTAGTTATCTTGATGGTGTTTAAACTCACTGTATTAACTATTAAACAGTCCGTTTTAATTCCATGAAACATGCCTAAACACTACTATGCACTTCTGTTGTGTTATGATAAAGACCTATTATGTGATTGACACTAGAGTCTAATGACAGTTTTACGTTGCAGCCAGGCTTTACAATCATAAGTCAGCCAATAACATTCAAACGTAAGTAAAACTTGCATACTTATTTCATTATTTTAGAAAAAAAACTAGCCGCTATACCCGTGCCTTGCAACGGGGTTAAGATCCAGAAGAGACAATTTTGGTCCCTTGAAAATAATGGCAAGCAGCTTAATTTTAAAATAACGCCGTTGATTTTATTGAAGCCGCTGTGCATCTAAACAACAACTAAATTAACCACAATTTATAAAACAATATGTCATGATCAAGTTTATTAAAAATAAGAACACATTTATTTCCAACACCAAAGCACGCATGACACACAGATCGTAATACTCTTGAGATAAAACAATAAGTTCCAAATTGTCACTTCTGCTAGTCGCAGTATCAGTCAATAAAAATATATCAGTCAATGATATATTTTTAGGTATAACGAAGACATCCCATCTATATGGATCAGCTGTCGCCATTTTTTTAATAAAAAAAGAATGTAGTTGTGTGAGCCAGTCACAGATTGCCCTAGTGTCTAAAACTCTATTTTGTACCTTATTTTTCGTTACTGACATAGTTGCTGGGTCACAACAGTTGCTATAGCTCATAATAAGTTATTCCATCAGTTTGACTTGGTAAAAACCATCATGTAATCGGCATAAATCAGTAATTTAGATCAGCGCAATCTGTAGGTGGCTCAGACCAACTAAGACAAATTTTATTAAACACCTGGCTACAACTTTAACATGGGGATGGAATGTATATAGACATTCCATCCCCATGTTAAATTTGTAGCCAGATTTTTTATCCAAATCGTCGTAGTTGGTGTGAGTCACCTACAGATTGCACTACAAGTCACAAGTCACCTACAAACTTGTTTACTTGTTAAGTCAAACATTGGGTATGACTTGTGGTGAGCTATAACAATTGTTATGATCCATCAACGTGGTCAGCAACAAACAATAAGGTATAAATTAGAATTTTAGACACTAGTGCATTCTTTGATTGGCTCACACATCTACTTTCTTTTTTAATAAAAAATTTTCGACAGCTGGTCCATATGGATGGGATGTCTACTTCAGTATCCAATATCCAATGGCATAAGCAAACAACATAGTGAGTAATTTGCCCTGTATCACAATAGTCCCAAACCTATTAAACATGAATATCTCTGCAGTTACCAATCAACGACTCCTGTTGACTGTGGTTCACAGTGAGTCTGAGGAAAGTTGTTGAACATAGCCTAGATAGTGTAGATATACACAATTTAAACTTGATGCTAGCTGCCCTTAAAAAATTGGGTCGTATTTCATATTTATTTATTTTTTATTTTACTAATATTTTTTTCCTCGGCTTATCTACTTAATTGACATAACATTTATTTAACAAACTTTTCGATTGAATTTGTTTTATATATTTTTTCAGATGAAAAAGATTATTTTGACGGCAAGGAGCTAAAAAAAAAGGACTTCAAAAAAATGTTTTATTCAAATGCGTCCGTAAGATTTCTGATTCGTTGCTACAAAATTGAAAACAGCTACATTTCTGTAATTGCCTCTCCTAGCGGAGTCAAATTTGGGACAATAACAGGCATAAATTGTTTACAAAACCAATTTTACGAGTATAAGGTCGTCACTACTAAGGGTAACAAATGGATTCTCTCCGAAGACAGATTAAAATATGGGAATCGTCTGAAAGAACCATATTGCTGGTATTATGGGTGTGACGAAGAAAAGGACCCAAATGAGAATGTCATGATATTCTTTTTCTTTTGGCCCGAAGAATCAACGGGATCTTTACAGGACACTAATGGAGAAATACAAACAACCACTAAACCTGGATGGCGTATCGTAGAGGTGAGGGAATGGAATGCTTAAATACCACGGTCCAAGCTATAGTTTAGCCAATCATACAATTAAATTAACCAATATAAAATTATGAGAATAATTAAGGATAACATCAATGAAACACACCGGCAGAGTGGTTATTGGAATGTTCGTCAAAGTAAACGATTATAATTCAACAATCGTTTTGTAAAACTAGCAATATTATTCCGTAAAATATTCACTTATTAAGGTTTAGAATAAAATTATACAAAATAAACTCATTTACTATTTAGGCCAGTAAATTAGAATTAAAAACACATTTTGAGAAATTCATTCCCAGCAAGCTGAAATCGTGTTAATACCTTAATATAAAAATATAACCTTTTGAATGAGTTAAGCTGTACCATATTATACGTGTTCTGATAAAAATTTAATTTCAATTTTAAAAATGCAATTGAAATTATCATTATGTAGTTTAAAAGTTGAAAAATATGAGATTTTATTAGGCAATGTCAATAAATTTGTAAAAATGGCTGTTGCCGGAAGTAGGAGTGAGATATAACTATCCAAATAGCGTATTTTTATCGCAATTTGCGTGTTTAATAATGCCTTGAAATTATTTGCCACTGACTACCAAACACCTTGTATATTGCTTTCGTTTTAAATTCTATTTTTTTTTATTTTCAATCTCATAACAAATTTATGTTTATAAATTTTAATTTTAATGAACTATACGCGAATTAATTAGCTGTTGTCACCTGTTTGCCATGTTATCAAGGGACATCAGCCATCAGGTGCTAAACAACACTACTTGCGACGTTGCCAACTCTACCAGACCGTGGCCTGGAGTTAAAGGTGTGGCTGTGTGTAAAATAGTGATGGGTTTCGTTAAAGGCTGATATAGGGATAAATTATGGCAAACCTGCGGACTCAGGCAATTCCCAAAATATTTTGATCGAGATAAGACCGTAACAGCTGATATTTAGTTTACAATTTTTCTCATTAAAACAAACTATTCTAGTTATTTATTTTCGCAATAATTTGTTGCATCTTTTTCCTTCTAAAGTCTCTCAGAAACTGTTTATAATGCAATAATGGTAAATAGTTGTTAACGCAACCAGCACCTAAAGATAGTCTCTACGACACAAATAGAAATTTAAGGCACGAGACTTAGTGAATGCCTCAAAAACTTCTACGAGTGCCGTAAAGGCTAATTAAGCGAGTTGTTTACACTCCTTTCCGATCGTTTGTCAATTAGGTTTGTACAACTTCATAACCTAAATTATTTCTTTTAATTTTTTTAGGGAATATGTACTGCTAGCAGCACTCTTACTACAGGGTGTCTTGCAACCATATGAACTAACTTTGTCACGTTATTCAGCATGTCAAAACAAACACGAAATGTAATATAGCATGTGTCCTATCTCATTCCATTATCGGTCTATCTGTCTACTACGTGATTTTTACAAAAACATTCATAACTCCTTAACTGTTTGAGCTACATTGTTGAAATTCTGTAAACATGTTCATCTTATTGACCAATATCTTGGTCTATTTTATAAGCTTAGTTTGTACAACGAATAACATTGTTTAAACGGAGAAAGATGAAGGTATGGTAAGACATAAAACTAATTTCTCAGTTATTCTTTGTACAAACTAAGCTTATAAAATATTTTTGAAACCGGCATAACGTTTAATAGATTTTACATCACTTGCAAATATTTTGTAAAATTAACGGTTCCATGGAATTTGGCATCGAATATTTTTAAAAGCCGCCAATTTTAATCGGTTCACGAGTTTTTATTGATATTTTTCACAAAGATATTGGTCAATAAGATGAACATAAAAAAAAATCCAACACTGTGGCTCAAGTGGTTAAGGAGTTATGAATGTTTTTTGTAAAAATTACATACCCACAGATGGACCGAAAACGGAATGGACACATGTTATATTACAGTTTTAGTGAATTTCCCATATAGGGAATAAGCTATTACCGTAGGTCTCATGGTAAGACCTAGACCCGGGACCGATTTACTTTTTCGTTTTGAGGTCCCCAGAGGCCAAAAACACCATCCGTTCAAATTAATATATATATATATATATATGTGTGTCCGTTAGCGCGATAACTCGAGCAAAAATGATCCGATTTCGATGAAATTTGGTACAAACGTGTAAATCTACGTTTATTCAAACGAGTTTGCGAACCAGCATGATCGGACGATGGGAACGGGGTTTTATGGGGGGTTTTATGGGGTAAAAATGGGTTTTTCTAATTTTTGACCCTAAAAACTTTAAATTTCTAAATTTATCTCTAGACCATTTTGAAGAGCTTAAAAAAACAAACAATTTAGTATATTGAAGTGTTATTGAATGTTCATTGACTACGGAGAAAATTCCCATGTTATTCTTATGGAGAATAAATAAACTGTTCTAGTTTGCTTGTTTATGGATATATTTTAATCAAATTTGGCAATTTGGTTTATTTCATACTAAGCTATCAATATTTCAATTGAAAAAACACACCTCAACATCTTCCCCGTAGCAGCAAACCTAACTACTCACTAAAATTAATGTTATTTAAATAGGAAATAAATCTGAAAATTTATAGGGAATATTTTAGTAGAAATCAAGCCGGGTAAATGGAAGTTCGCTTAGTATGCAGGTTTGCTGCGACGGGGGTATTTTGTTTATTTTGACGTGCTGAATAACGTGCCAAAGTTTGTTCATATGGTTGCAAGACACCCTAAGTACTGTTTCATGTACAAAATAGACAAATATTGCACATTTGTGGCAAAACTGAATGTATGGACACAGTTTAGTTACCAAATTTAAATTAAAACAAATAAAATTAAAATTTCTCTTAAATTATTAACATTATCAGTGAAAAAGAATCAATAAACATTTTTGCAAACTTATTATTTTTTCGTCACTTGGAAAGCTGCGTAACTTGGAAAATAATATGTTAATTTAGGTGGTAAAAGATTAGTACAAACCGTTCAAGCCCTTACTTCTATTTCGTATATAGGACTGATGTGCCTTTTTTAAGATCTTTTAATTAACTTTCCTGAAACTCTTGGTTTGCAAATCGTTTGGTTCAATAATTCTTACGTTATGTTTGAGTTTTCAGTAGAAGTCGGGAGGTCGACAATTGAATTGGACGTTACCAGCTGACAAGTTGGCGTTTTAGCATTACAATTTTACTCCTTGAAACATTCCCTCTGGTCCGTTACTTTACCACACTAGTGCTGTAAAGTAAGCAAACCATGCGGCAAAGTGAATCTTTTTAATTCAAACAGTTGAATTTAAAAGGATATTTAAAAAAATAAAAATATCTAAATTTAAAAGTTTTATTTTGGATCAAGGCAATCATCCAGAATCAATAAAAATTATTAAATAAGTAATTTTCGTTAATAAAAAGAGTAAACTATATGTTTGTTGGACCCCAGTCTCCGTTCGAGCCTTTACAACCAGAAGACAAAGACAACCCTGCAAATGACCAAACCCAGAATCAGGTCTCAGCACTTACACAGACTCAACAACAGTCATTACAGGCAAGTATATATTAGGTTGTAATTATCAACTTTAGATGTGCAGTTATAACAACTAAGACGGCTCTATGAAGCGTATTCTGTGATTTAAAGCTAGTGTACGGATATCTCTGAATACTCATTATTGATTCTATAATTGCTAACTTAAAACTAAATTTCACTATTCCAAAATTCATTCATTGGTGTTTTGCAATATCACGGTCAGAAATAAGTTGGTCATAAATTATTGTACACATTTTAAGACTAATTTAAAAAATGGTAGTAATTATAAAAAGTGGTTATAAAATGTCAGTAAAAATCACCTAAACTGTGAGTGTAATATACCCTCTATACAGGGTGATTGATATAAGTGTGCTAGCCGTTTTATTCGAAAACCATAAGAGATATCAAAAAAGTTAAATGGTAAGTGCCTTAGACTTTTTATTTAAAAAATTGTAGTAAAGTCAAAAAAATTATTTTAGCCGCCATTTTTCTAATATGGCCGCCAACTTTGATTTTTCTTATGGAACAGCCTGTATTTTATTTTGTATTCTAGTAGAAAATGTAATTTTAAGACGATTTTATTCTTGTGTTTTTTTTTATAAACCTAACCGTTTCAAAGATAATAATGGTTTAAGTTGTGAAACTTTGAATGGTTTTCGAATAAAACAGCTGGCATGCTTGCTTAGGCCTTTTTTGAAACTCTTTCTCAAGCAGAAATTTCAAAACTTTAACCATTATTATCTTTGAAACGGTTAGGTTTATGAAAAAAATCACTAGAATAAAATCGTCTTAAAATTACATTTTCTACCAGAATACATAATAAAATACAGAGTGTTCCATAAGAAAAATCAAAGTTGGCGGCCATATTGGAAAAATGGTGGCTAAAATAATTTTTTTGACTTGACTACAATTTTTTAAATAAAAAATCCAAGGCACTTACCATTTTTAACTTTTTAGCGATTTCCCATATAGGGAATAAGCTATTACCGTAGTACTCATGGTAAGACCTGGACGCGGGACCGATTTTTTTTTCGTTTTGAGGTCCCTAGAGGCCAAAAACACCATCCGTTCAAATTCATATATATATATATATATATATATATATATATATTTATATATATATATATGTTTCCGTTAGCACGATAACTCGAGCAAAAATGATCCGATTTTGATGAAATTTGGTTCAAACGTGTAAACCTACGTTTATTCGAACGAGTTCGCGATCCAGCATGATCGGACCATGGGAACGGGGGTTTACGGGGGGTTTTATGGGGTAAAAATAGGTTTTTCCCATTTTTGACCAAAAAAACATAAAATGTTGCAATTTCTTTCCAAACCATTTTGTAGAGCTTAAAAAAACAAATAATTTAGTATATTGAAGCGTTATTATGCGCCTAATGGTTACGGAGAAAATTCCAAAAAATTGTAAATTTAAAATTCCCATGTTATTCTTATGGAGAATAAGTAAACTGTTGTAGTTTGCTTGTTTATGAACATATTTTGATCAAATTTGGAAAATGTTTTTATTTCTTACCAACTATTAACATTTTACAAAACAAAAAAGTTTTACCCTCCCTGATGCAGCAAACCTAAGTACTTGTTAAACTAATTCTATTTAAATCGGGAATAAATGTTATATTTGTAAGTAGACATTTCAGTGTAAATCAAATAAGTCAAATGGAAATTCGCTTAGTCTGCAGGTTTGCTGCGGCGGGGGTATTTTGATATCTCTTATAGTTATCGAATAAAACAACTGGCACACTTATATCAATCACCCTGTATAGTTTTCTTCTCAATGACAAGTGTTGTGGCATAAGTCAGCTGGCCAACATTAGACCTTCACCATACCAGCTGTGTATGACATTTATTTGATGAATCAAACATTAACTGACCTCAGTATCAAGATTACTAGTGTACAAGAAAAAATTAATTACTGACATCCATATAAAAATCCCAAAGTACCGATGAACTTTTGAGAAAACTACAAGTCACACCCCTATAAATCATATACCTAAAATGTTCGTCATGGCGAGAAACCTTAAGCAAAACTATCTATTATTTCATAAATTGCTCTTTAATTGTTTAATGGTTGTAACTCCTTTCTAAAGGGAACTTTCCATAGACCTAATGTTCAAAATACCTCAGCTGTACTTATTTGTTTGTTATTCTTTCACTTAATACCTTATTAAAATCAGATGTGATTATTTGTTTGTATAACTGTATTCTGTTTTGTTTATTTCAGCTTAACTTAATCAGTCAATAGTCTTACCAAAGATTACATATGCTGTCTTACTAATACTAATGCAGTCAAACGGGGTGAAGCCCGTGGGTATAACAGCTAGTTTTAATTATTATTTATTTGCGGTTACTATATACTGTAAAACTGCTTTATATTTGATATTTTATGAAACAACCCGTACAGTATTAAATAAAACTATTGATTTCCGTACCGGGTTGGGAGGCATTTCGAGTGGATTTCATGGCTACTTTGAAGAAAAGCATTGGACTTAATAGGAGAGTCCATATGAACAAACTTTGTCACGTTATTCAGCATGTCCAAATAAACAAAAATATGTAATATAACAAACTGTGATTTATAATTTCATAAAAAATCATATTAATTTCACACATCACACATTATTATATTCTTAATTCTCACTGACCACTCTCATTTCACTCATATTCAAAAATTTTAATTGTAAAATTATCCTGGATCTGATTTAATTTCTGAGAAGAAAGACCTAATGTCTGTCACCTGATTGATTGGGCGAACGTAATGTTTTCTTTGTTCTGGGTCCAGCATTTGTAAAACCTGCCATACAGTAAAGGCAACGTTGACTTCCTCGTCAAACATGTTGAGGATCTACTGTAGAAGCGAATGAACAAATAATAATGAAGTTCTGTTGTTTGAAAATACAGTATACTGCGTCGTGCTTGAACCTACCATACACTCGATGAGCAAAGAAGAAAACACTTGAAGCAAAGCGTTGTGCAATATTTTGATTCAGGTGAAATGCTGGATCAGTGTGCGCCCAGTGTCTATTCTGAAACTCTATACTCAGTTAGTTCTCCACGAATTCGTTTGGATATAAAGATATACCTTTTGGGCTTCGTCATTCTCATACATCTCTGGAATAATTTTTAGAATGTGTAACTTTAATTGAGTAAATTTTTTTTTCCAGAAAACTAGACATCTCCAGAACATTGACATAGAAGGCAAGAATATTATAAAGCGTAAGTTTCACTATATATTTAGTATGCAATTAAAATTAAGCCCCATTTTTTCTGGAACCGTTTTTAATGTAACCTATGTAAAATAAGCCATTATATGGTAAATTTAAAATAAAACAAATAATTGAACCACATGAAACTATAACTGAGCTAAACAATTTAGCTGAAAATCTACTGTTGTGCGATTTTTGCAGGTGAGGAAATAATACTGGAAGACATTACCAGTACAGGATCATGGGTTCTGGTAGCAAAGTACCGACAGAAATACGATCCTGGATTTGTACTACTTTGCCAACAATCAGCGGACAACAAATACTACTCTAGTGTTTTCAGTGGCGAAGTTCACGTTCTTACAATAGCAAATCACGATTGCTCACCCAAGAGAGATTCTGGATTTTTGATAATTGTTTCAATCGATGAAAGAGACAAAACAAGTGGGAAAGAGTTTGTCTTTGTAAAATCGTCAGCCAATGCCATGTTTAGCATTTGTAGAAAATGTAAGTCAGTTGAATATCTTCCTGCTTATCAAGCCTGGAAACGTTCATCTTGGTATCAGGTAAATGTAAAGAAATGTCAATCCTAAACTATTAACATTTTACAACAAAAAACCCTTTTTTACCCTCCCTGCTGCAGCAAACCAAAGTACTTGTTAAAATAATTCTATTTAAATAAGGAATAAATGTGATATTTTTTAAGGAGGAATTTTAGTGTAAATCCAATCAGTCAAAAATGGAAATTCGCTTAGTCTGAAGGTTTGCTGCGGCGGGGGTATTTTAAGAGTTCTTACACTACAGAGTTTTGTAATTATTATTATCTTAACCGTTACTATTTTTTAAGGAGGAATTTTAGTGTAAATCCAATCAGGCAAAAATGGAAATTCGCTTAGTCTGAAGGTTTGCTGCGGCGGGGGTATTTTAAGAGTTCTTACACTACAGAGTTTTGTAATTATTATTATCTTAACCGTTACTCGTTAGACACTTTTTTCGATCTCTTAAGGCTACTACCAAGACCGATGATTTATTTGTCAGAACAGTACTATCTACTAAAATCACAACATAATGGTTGACAAGGGCATTTCCATCTATATTTTCAGTATAAATCAACTAGGAAAGCAGTTGTTTTGGTGTGGTACGCAAGATCCGTTAAAAAGTAAGTAAAATCTTATGCATAATGGTTAAGGGCGGCTAAAAATGTTTTGATGGGTTTTAAATCTTACTCACGATAACATTTTTTTAGGAGCCTATAATGGAAGGATGCACACTGAAAAGTAAGTAATAATGAGATTATACTGTATAGTGTTTGTTAAAGTCTGTTATGAACATATGACAAAGAATTATAAAAAAATGGCTAGCACCTTTTAGTAAAAGATATATTTTTCATCCAAAATAAGGAGATATTCAACATGTTATGAAATAATATGGGTTAAACATGAAAATAGTTATTAAGATGGATACAAAGTACAATTGTTTACATTAAAATACAATTATCAGCGCTATGTAAGTCCAACTCCATTTTAGGTACCAATAATATCATCCGCATACTTGAATGAAAGGTCTTAGTGTGAAAATATCAGTTTTCCGATAAACCTTCTCCTAAGGGTACGAACCTCAACTAAAGGGTTGTAATTAATCACAACTATTGCAGAAGCATCAGATGTGACATTTTTTCAACACACTACGATTTTTTCAAAAACATCGGCTAAAAAGCCGTTTTACAAAAATTTATTGGAGGCCGAAAGCTACGTATGGATGTCCATTCCAGCTGTCATAGTTATTTGGTGGCCGAGCAGGTTTTTACATCCTAAGGCCGAAAATCAGCTGTTCACTTATTTTCTTATAAAACACAACGTAACAGATATTTCATTGATTTTAGAAACAAAAGAACACTGTGCACTGCTCAGTTTCATTATATTTTCCTTGGTTTAATTTAATCAGTGGTGTGGCAAAACACAAATAATAAATTTGTCAATTAAATTAAATGTGAACTGAAATCTATGTTAAGATGAAATAAGAGTATTTTGTATTACCATTGATTATTAAATATAGCTATACATATACAACAGATTTAGAACACAAAAATCAACGATATACAATTTAGTTAGGCTGTTGATGTTATTCTTTAGTTCACTTTGAGCATAGGCTTAGCAAAACACAATAACTAAATTTACCTAAATATACATATAAAAAAACAATGTGATGTGCAAGTTATGTTAAGTTAATCTGACACATGTTAAGCAGTTCGAATTTATTTAAAGTAGCCTCCAACTTCATACAAAACATCTATACATTGTAATTTTCTTCCTGTTTCCATGAAAATATATATTTAATATTATTTTCATAACACTTAAGACACTTTAAAAATCAAAAGCATAGCCTGAGTTGGTACAGCAACGCTTTTAGAATATGTTTTTTTTTTTTTATTTATTGAAATGTCAAAGCAAATGTAAACATTGTGAGTATTCTCATTGCAGCCATGGACACCAATCAATATTTACTTTTAAAATCCTCACCTCGGAAATTTTAAAGCCAAAAGGGCAAAGCCCACGGTCAGTATCGAAGTATGAATAATGGTCGAAGTCCTATAATGGTCCTTGGTATGGTAGTTATATTTTTGTAAAATTTAAGCCCAGTTGGTTAAGTAGTTTTTGCACCTATTAGTTATACCATAGACTAACCAACACAAGTAGACTTCTCATCTCATTGTAAATTTTGAAGCACGTTTTTCATGTCTAGTTCATGTACGTGACACATGGGCGCTAGTGTCGACGAAGCTTTGTTTCTATTATTTTAGGGTTAATTTCTTGATTTGTGCTTTACTGTTTGGTTATATAACTAGGGGACAAGTTATTGTTTATGATTAGATCGTATCATTTGGTTAAACGGGGTTTTAAATGGCTGTAATAACGGGAAAAAAATTGTAAACAAAACACGACCTCTACAATAAACCGTACAGAACTAACAATAAAATTGTCTTCAGCTGTTCCACAAGGATGAGAAATCTACTAAGGGAGTATGTTTTATCTATGGTTATACACATATAGACGGACACCATTACATTTTTATATAATAAGTATAGAGTATAGATTAATGCATATTAAATGCACAATCAGTATCCATAGCATTGCAATATACTTGTTTTATTTTCACCACTGCCTAGCAACTGTTTATTATTATTATTTTTGCCGATTCCTCAAAATAATTCTTCACATAATCTTAAAGCTGTGTTTTGTTGACTGTGGTGTTGACTGTATTATTCCGGTGAAGTTGTAATAGGGTATAGTGTGTGGTGAAAAATAGCTTTCGTACCAAGGACCGAAATGGTTTTGCCGGCTCGAGATGCTGAACGTTAGCGGCATTAACGCGACGCATTTGCCTTTCGTATAGAATGGCCTATTGTGATAAATTGATTAGTTTTGATTCTGCCACAAAGTTTAATGTAAATGCAATCAATTTCGGGTTTTATTAATCGCAAGTATATTAGGTAGTTATTTATCCCAGAGTATTTTCTCTGTGTCAGTAACTAATGATTATCATACCGTTTCAGAAACCCATATACTCAGAGGGGACCAAGTGTTACCAGTAGGCCTACTGAAAGGTAAACTAGTCGCCAGATACATCAGTGACGACGGACTCTACAATCTCAATTGCTATGAACGTAACAACAATGAACACGTATTGGACATCAGGAGAATATTAGGAGAAACATCAGCCATTCAAATCACAGGATTAGATTGTTCTACGGACGTGAATTCAGTATTTTATTTCGCATCCAGTTATGGCAGTTATACTGTAGGAGTGCCCTTAGCGGAGTCCCCCCAAAACGGCAGAAATTTCAAACTGAAAACCCCTTGGTGTATCTACAATGCCTGGTCCCCCACCTTAGCTGAATTAACCACAATCGAACCGAAAATCTATAATGAAGCCCTGACAAATATTAAATGGATCAAGGTAAAATTAACCTCATTTATTTACATTTTTCCGAGCAGAAAATATTAATAAAACTATTTACTTCATACTACATTATGTGCTTCGTGCACTTAGTCAGCTGATAAAATTAACAACGAATTGCAAAAAAGTATTTTTTGCATTCTTTAATTGTGTTCTTGGTGTTGGTTAGTCAATGATTGTGTTTAGCGAAGTGGCTTTACTGGCAGAACATTCGATTTTTACACGTTCAGTCATAGTAAGTAAATCTGTTCATTTAGGCTAATGTAATAAAATTCTCGTTTCTGTAAAATCAAACTATTGGATTACTAAAAGAGCTGGAATCTCGTGACAAAGGACCTGTGGACCTGTTCTCGGTACCTATAGATATCGAGCCAAAATTGATGTAATAACGATCGTTCACTACAATGCTCTTCGCAAATTTTGATTACTTGAAATATTTACTTACTCATAGTCAAAGCATTCTAGTATTCGTGCTTACTCTTACTTGAAATACTTGAGGTCTTCATTTTTGACCGACACTGTCGGATAAATTGCGTCAACTTATAAGAGCTTGTCAATAAACAGATATATTTACACGATTTACAATATTTACAATATTTACGATATTTACATTTTACTGTGGCATGGCGGAAAGATTTTGGCCTAGGATCTGAAAATAGGCTCCTCACTGAGTTCCCCCCATGATTCATGATAAGCTGAATATATGAAATATGAAGTCTCGGGATTTTAACACTATTGCGGGGTGTGATGCAATCGCTGGACCATACAGCAAATAGGCCCATAGCTCATCTCTTGGGTACGTACGCCTTCATATTTATTCATATAACAACCTTTTCGACGACGATCCTTGATACCAGTACTTTTCCATAGAACACATAGCCTACCTACTTAAGAAATAAAATTACAAATGTCCAAAAACCCAACATTGTGTGATTTTTGTCACATTCAACTGACTACTACAAGATCCCCGTACGTAGAACGGACACACAGCTAGTAAATAATATGAACCGTTAGAAATATTCCACAAATTTTAAATGGGAGTCCCATTTTCGAGTAAAATTGCATTTTACCGTTCTCCTCAACTTCAATCTTCAATTGACCAGTTGAGCAGTGGTCAATCATGAGACTCGCCAGTAGGCCTACTCCATAGCTTAAATCAGTTTGTTTCAGTCGTGTCCACGGTAAGGAAACGATTGTTATTAATAACACAATTATATTTACGTTATCCTTACGGCACCATAATAAATAGGTTCCCTCATAGCCCAGGGTTAAACGGTTAATAAATAACCCCCAAAACGTATGCATAAAATATACTCTACGATTACATGTCATGAAAATATGTATGACGAGATGTGTTTAATTTATTGTTTGTTACAGTAAAAAGTTGGCTATAAAACTAATTATAACTGTTACTAGTTAACCTGATTAGTATTAAAGTATACAAGCGATTGCCTGTTTATGGCAAATACATAGTAATTCAAAAAATTGTTTCAGGTGTCATTAGATTTTAACTTGCTGGTGAAACGTAAGTAATAGGCTAAACGAATGGGAGGTAGAATTAATGCTGTAAAATTATATCTACCGAAAACTACAAAAATTATATCTTGGTACCATAAACTAAATAAAGAAATAAAAATGCTTATAGAATAAAAATCGAATCTTGATTGTACGAGGATACGCTATTAAGATTTTCTGAATACTTGTCTGTTTATAATTAAATAATACAATAATACCTTGAAATTGTAGCTTGAAATCCACGGGCTTTTTAATACAGAGTATTTTTTTAGATCCCTGTAAACGGAATCAAACAAGAGTGTCCGAATTACCAATCAGCAAGCAAGGCCCCATAAAACCAATAATAAAACCCCAGGCCTATAATAATATTCACCTTTCTACAGAAATGATTTCTTACAGTTTATTAGTAGCTTGTACTATAGACCATGAGCCACCAATATTAAACCCTCCCCCCCGTGGGAATTTATGACTTATACTTTTTTTTTGTATTACCTACCAGATTAAGAATTCAGTTGTTTGCCTCTTTTAAATTACAGCGTATTCCGGAAAATAAAGAAAAACTGCCAAATTTAAAAAAACTGTTTTATTAAGATTACATAAGGGTAGCCTACGTTAATTACTGGTGAAATATTTTTTATGGACTTCTTCAGTGTGTATTTAAAGTGTATTTTCAGATAAACTGGTTTTAAATACTTTTGTTAGACATAAATGTAACACTCACTTCATATTTTAATTCTTTATTTTACAACATTATTCTTGTATCATTGTTTTTGTTGTTCTTTTAACATATGTTTCTATTTCTTCTCTTTACAGTATAACATGAAAGTGCATAGGGTTGATTATATCAATTAGGATTATATCAATTGGGCCTTAACACAAAGGCTTCAAATAAAAATAAAAAAAGTTAATAAAATACCCCCGCTGCAGCAAACCTGCAGGCAATGCGGATTTCAAATTGGCCTGAATTGATTTTCAATTAAATATATCCAAACAACATTAGATTTAACGAGTACCTCTAGGAAAGAGATTTTAAGAGATTCTATTTAAATTAAATTAATTTTATTGAGAAATTTTTGATGTAAATTTTACTAGAATGTAAGGTTTCAGTAAAATTAACGTCTAAAACTTTGTTTTCCTCGTATCAAAATCGGATTTGCGACACTGACTTTATTTTTAAATCTCTTTAAAATAATGTGCCGATTGATATGGGTTGCCTTAAAAAAAAAATAAGTTTCTCTTATCAACCCTGTTTGTAGGTGGGGGGTGAATTTCAAAATATCACCAAAAAGAACCTTACATTACCCTAGAAACGTGTATTGAAGCTTGTTTGAATTTATGCATATTTGTGCAGCGTTAAAATAAATATCATATCCGAAAAATAATCAAATTTATGATTTTTGATTGTGTAATACAGTAGCTTAAACTTAACTGATTCAAACGATCAATAGCTCAAATTAAAGCCTATAATTAACTGATTATTTTGAGTCTAAAACATATAAAAAAAACTTCAACAATACTGGAGCTATTGATATTCAATCATAGAAAAACCTTATTAAGATTACCGTTAACACTATTACCCATATACTCAGAGGGGACCAAGTGTTACCAGTAGGCCTACAGAAAGGTAAACTAGTCGCCAGATACATCAGTGACGACGGACTCTACAATCTCAATTGCTATGAAAGTAACAACAATGAACACGTATTGGACATAATATCAGGAGAAACATCAGCCATTCAAATCACAGGATTAGATTGTTATACAGCTATGTAGAACATGTTGTTTTTTTTATGTTGGATGTTCACCTTGCGTTTGCTTGAAACCCGTCCGATTTGAATAACTAATATCTTAATGCAAGCCGGTATTTCACTGAAGGTTCTTAGACCAAAATATATAGGGTACAATTATGAATGGTAAAATTCCGTACAATTTAAAATGAAATACAAATTAAAAAATATATCAAATCTATGTTTTTTGGTCGAGTAATAAAGTAGATAAATATACGATGATGCTTGATGTGAAATATATGTGTGCATACTACCAATTTAAGACCTCAATCATGAAGATCGGACGTGTAGAAGAGCCAAAGAAACTCGGAAAATAAAAATAAACAAATTTAACTCCCTTTAGAAATACAAGGGGGCAAATTTCATTTACGTATAAGCCGAGTGGGACTGTCGATAAATATATACTGATGCTTGATGTGAAATCTGTGCGTGCATACCTTCAATTTGAGACCTCAATAATGAAAATCGGGTGGGTAGAAGCGCCAAACGAACTCGGAAAAGAAAACCAAAATTTAACTACCATAAGAAATACATGGGGAGAAAATGTCGTTTACGTATAAGCCGAGTGGGACTGTAGACAAATATATGCCGATGCTTGATGTGCAATCTGTACATTAATACCTTCAATTTGAGACCTCAATCATGAAAATCGGTCGGGTAAAACAACCAAACGAAATCGGAAAAGTAAAACTAATTTTTTTATGTATATATATTCTAACTATCATGATATTTTCGTGTTTTCTGGAACATGCTGTAATTCACAAGTGGCAACCCCTAAAATCTTAATGTACGTGTCAATACAAGCACAAAAATGTATATTTCAAAAATTCCCACCAAAGGGGAGGGGGGTATAGTATATCTAGTGCGGCCTTGGTATAGACCACCCTCCGCTCTACTAGTGTGTAACAATAATCAAGTCAGATATTGCATTAAAGTGATGCGAATCACAAATAAATTGTGAAGTTAATTTTAATAAGAGTTAAATTGTATTTTTCAGAGAAAGATATACTTTTGGAAGAACATGAGATAACTGTAGAAGAGAGTGATCTTAAAGCCGTATACCTAAGTAAATATGCTGACTATGGACGGAGTAACCATTACACCTTGTTGTGTTACAAAAGTGGACTTTCGGAACATATATCTGTCATCAAACAACTTGGATCCTTCAAACTAGCTGTTAAAGGACTGAACTGTTTGTCCCTATCAAGCTTACAATCAGTTTTCTTCTTATCACTTGACAACATGAAAATGACTGTAGGGTTCATTCGGCTATATAGCCCCGAGAAACAAATCTGGTGTCAGTATGACGTAAATTTAAGTGGGACTAAAACTGTCACTCCAGCTGATCCGCAACAAATTGATAAAGTGGTTTGGTTGGATGTAAGTATGTCATATAATTGCTTTCTATCTGTACATTGTCACATCTGTTCAAATGTTTGTTTTTTCCTACAGTCACCCGACAAAGTTGGCTTCCTTGTACTCTGCTAATTGCTGCATATTTATACTTTGCCGTACGGTTTATACTTTGTCGTACGGTTTATACTTTGCCGCACATCAGGATTCCAAACTGAACAACACAAAACAGCGTGGTTCTATTATGCACGTAATCCGTGTACGCTTGGAAATAGGTTGGCAACACTTAAAGATAATAATACTATGAGCAGCTGATTGACTATTATAACTACGATTTAACCTGTCATTTCGTGTTTAAAGTTTCGGTATTTCTGAACTTTCTGGACTTTTCTTTTAAACGTTTTTAAAACATTCCTACGATCTTAATACACAAGAAAATACCTTTAAAGCATTTTTTTAGGCGCGGAAACCACTTCAAATTACAAAAACATACGGAACTATATTTTCAAAACGCGGACCACATTTGTTGCCGAGGAAAAATAGCGGAGTGATACGGACCGTGGGTACTACTTTCTCTAGGGCACTATTTCTGTTGCCAGCTGAACCTAAAACCGTGTTGTATAGTGTTTGAAAGACTAATTATTTATATGCTTTATAGTGACTGTAGGAAAAATATAATGTGTAACACGAGTGAAAAAGGCCTTTGCTGCACTCGAGATCATTCCGCACTCGCCTGCGGCTCGTGCGTAAACATTGCTCTCGTGTGCAGCAAAGTGCCACTTTCACCACTAGTTACACAAATAACTATTGTTAACTTTGATGTTAGTTAGCTTGTCATATTGTTAGCTTTTTATATCATGCTGGATTCTTTGTTCAATAAAGCCTAACTAAAGGTAATTTCGTTTTCTAATGGTTTTATTCATTCAATCTACAACAATTTATTGAACAAAGAATCTTTTATTAAAATATACATCAACCTTTTGTCATGGAACTTATACTTAGACCTGAGATATTTAATGTCAATCCTATTGAAGTCCAAGATTGGAAACATTGGTTTCACACCATTGAAAACTTCATCGAAGCTAGTAAAATCAGTGAAGAACTGAGGCTTAAAGTATTAACCAATTTCATTTCACCATCCGTTTATGAGTATGTAAATGACTGTGAAACATACAAACAAGCAATTGATGTGTTGAAAAAGTTGTACTTGAAACCTGTCAAAGAAATTTACGCACGTCATAAACTTAGAATCAGAAGACAAGATACTGGTGAGAACATTGATACTTATGTAGAATCTCTGAAGCGCCTTTCCAAGGATTGTAACTTTAAAGCTGTTAATGCTGTATCTAGTAGAGATGAATTCGTCAGAGACACATTCATTGATGGCTTGCTAGTACCTCACATTCGTCAACGATTGTTGGAGAGCTCTGCCTTGACTTTGGATGAAGCCGTTTCTCAAGCCAGATCACTCGATATTGCTAAATATCATTCTGAACAATAAAATTTAGAGAAGTTTTTACCAACCATTAACGCTGCAGCTTCAAAGACTATCAGTTAAAAGAATCGATACTTATCTAGCCCTGATCCAAGACCTTCGGCTGCCGAACCAGAATCGTATCCATCTCAAGAAAGTATAACATGTTCACTCAATCAGACATGTTACTTCTGCGGCTTTAAGAAACACAACAGAGCTGCTTGTCCAGCTAAAGAAGCTTTATGCAGAGGATGTGGCATTAAAGGTCATTACCAAAAGGTATGTAGAAAATACAAAACACAAACTTCTACAGTAAAGGCCTCAGTTTATCAGTCAAACTGTATAATCTCAAATTGCAAGATCATATTTACAAGAATGTGGTCTTCAGCGTACTTACAAACTTATGTTCTGACATTATTGTAGGGCATGATATTCTGAAAAGTCACTCAAGTTTACAAGTAAATTTTGGAGGAAAAGAGTCTCCTCTCAACATATGTAGTGTAGCCTTAGCTAACGTTGAGCCAGTAGAACTATTTGGTCATCTATCTCCAGATTGCAAGCCTATTGCAACAAAATCTCGAAGGCACTCAGCAATTGACGAACAATTTATTGAAAGTGAAATTCAATTACTTTTGAAAGATGGTATTATTGAAGAGAGCAGGTCTCCATGGAGAGCACAAGTCCTTGTTGTTTCATCAGATAACCACAAGCGGAGAATGGTTGTGGATTATTACAGACAATCGTTTTACAGAACTTGATGCGTTTCCTCTCCCTAGGATTGATGACATAGTCAACGAAGTAGCTTCACACAAAATTTGTAGTTCTATTGATCTTAAGAGTGCCTATCACCAAATCCCAATAACAGAAAATGACAAAGCTTACACGGCATTTGAGGCTTGCGGGAACTTGTACCAATTCACCCGAGTGCCATTTGGAGTTGGTAATGGTGTCCTTGCTTTTCAACGTACTTTAACCAACATAATTACTTGTAAAAAACGTGAAGGGGTTCAGGGGTTGAAGGGGTTGAAGGGGTTGATATAACAATCTGTGGTAATGATCAGGCTGAACATGACAGGAACTTGAAAAATTTAATGAAAGCTGTTTCCAAATATAATCTTACTTTGAACAAACATAAATTCAAGTTTTCTACAACCATGATCCATCTATTAGGTTATGTAATCAGTGTAAAATCAATAAGACCAGATCCAGATCATTTGCAACCCCTTCGAGATCTTCCCATTCCAACTAACTCAAACTCTCTTCACAGAGCTCTTGGTACCTATGTTCTCCCACTACTCACAATTCATTCCTAAGTTTTCTAAGAAGGTAGGCTGTTTAAACAGAAGTTCTTTTCTACTGAATGAAGAAGCTAAGTGTGTATTTGAAAGAATCCATTGTTAATGCAGTAACTTCTTCAATTGACTGTGATGGATTGTTAACAGTCGAAACCAATGCATCAAATCATGCAATACGCGCAGCTTTGGCTATTGATAGCAGACCTGTAGCATTTTTCTCTAGAACACTAACGAACTCGGAACAGAAACATTCATCTTTTGAGAAAGAAGCATATTATGCAATAGTGGAAGCGTTAAGAAAATGGAGGCACTATCTCATAGGCAGACACTTTCGTTTTACAACAGATCAACGATCTGTAGCCTTCATGTTCAGTGATCGAAATGCGAGCAAAATCAAGAATGAGATGGAGAGTTGAGTTATCTTGTTATAATAATGAGACTATTTATAGAGCTGGAAAAGAGAACAAAACAGCAGATGCTTTATCCAGGGAATGTTCATCAATGGAAGGAAGCTTATCAAACCTAGTATCACTTCATGACGCTTTATGTCATCCAGGAGTGTCTCGGATGTATAATTGGACTCGGAGTAAAAACTTGCCTTAATCACTGGATGAGATCAGAAAAGTAACTTCCTCCTGTCAAACCTGCTTAGAGGTAAAACCTTGATTCCACAAACATGAAGGACAACTCATCAAAGCTACTCAACCATTTGAAAGACTTAACATCGATCTGAAAGGGCCACTTCCATCCACAAGTAGAAATCGATATCATTTAATAGTCGTGGATATATTCTCGATTTCCATTCGCATTCCCTACTCAAGATACAACTGCTAGAACTGTTATTCTGAGACTTAGGGAATTTCTCAAGGAACTTCTTCTTTTCTCAATGTTTGGAGTACCGGCTTATGTTCATTCTGACAGAGGTTCAAGTTTTATGTCTCAAGAACTCAAGTCATTTTTATGTTCACTAGGAGTTGCCACCAGCCGTACAACACGCTTACAATGCTCTGGGCTACGGGCAAGCAGAGAGGTATGTTGGTATAATTGGGAAGACAATCGAACTATCACTTAAAAGTAAACATCTGGACATATCTTATTGGGAAAAACTACATTTAGAAGCTTTGCGCTCTATCCGGTCGTTATTGTTTACCTCAACAATGTATTTGAAATGACACCACATGAAAGCCTATTTCTCTTTTCTATAAGATCTAGTTATGGTAATACAACTCCCTCGTTGCTCATGAACCTAGGTCTAGTGCTTATCAAACGGCCTGTCAGAAGCTCAAAATACGAACCACTCGTTGAAGAAGTACTGCTCCTTGAGGGGAATCCTTTATTCTCACATAAGATATGCAGATGGCCGAGAAACTACTGTGCGTTCCAGGCATTTAGCATCTGTAGGAGAAGTGTCACGTAATGAAGAAAACTCTAACTCCAATCTACGACATGAAGAAGACTCAAACTCCAATCTAAGACATGAAGAAGACTCAAACTCCAATCTAAGACATGAAGAAGACTCAAACTCCAATCTAAGACATGAAGAAGACTCAAACTCAAATCTAAGACATGAAGAACACACAAACCCAAATCTACAAATAAATGAAAGAAGTTCTGAAGTTGAGGTCGAATCTGAGCCTATCTTCCAAGACGAAGAAAACCTGAGTCAAGACCATGTTGGTCTAAGGAGAAGCTCCAGGAGTACACCCGCCTTTGTATTTAAAAGACTATGTCAGCTAGGAGGGGAAGAATTTCATATAATTCCTTTCTATCTGTACATTGTGACATGTGTTCAAATGTTTATAAATTGTTTTTGTTTACTTTGATGTTAGTTGGTTCATATTGTTAGATTTTTATATCATGATAGATTCTTTGTTCAATAAAGCCTAACTAAAAGTAATTTCGTTTTCTAATGGTTTTATTCATTCAATCTACAACAAAGTATTGCAAAAATATATTGTACACTAGTAACGAATGTTTGTTGTTAATTAAAACGTTTTTTTTTACGTTAGCCTTAAATTCGTACGGCGCTCACTTCTTATTTGTTTTCTATTATCTCTATAATTTTGAGGAACTTTATGAATGGAATTATTTATTAGTGCGTTGTATGTGAATGACAGAAAAAATGCATATATATGTTACACACCTACGTTATTTCTCTAATAGCATCATTACAATACGCTATGTATTGATAATTAATAGTATATTACGTTACTAGTCCTGAAAGTAAGTGTTTACCGGACGAGTGTGGTCGTTCCCGTGCGAGACGAAGTCGAGTACGGGATTACCATACGAGTCCGGTAAACACATTTTGGACGAGTTACGTACGATATTTTACGCCATACTACTTAATCCGTACGAATCCTTATATATTTCCACCAACTAAAGGACTAAAAATCACTAGTCATAACCTCTAAGAGAGGTTATGTTTTTGCTTATAACCAATTATTGCTACCTACGCAAATACAGTATAATCAGCTGATTGGTGTCCGGTAAAACTCATTGCAGAACAGTATCACGCAATGAAACCCCATTTGAATAAGCTGGCGGCAAACAGCTGTTTTCTGGACTGAATCCTTGCGTGGGAGGCTCGTCTAAATAATGTAGTGTGGCGTAAATATAGTTACACATATAAAACATATTTTAGAAAACAAAAATCAACGACATACAATTTAGTTATTGATGATATTCTCTAGTTTAATTAAAGCATAGGTTTAGCAAAACACAATAACTTAGTTTACCTAAATATACATATAAAAAACAATGTTATGTGCAAGTTATGTTAAGTTAATCTAACACATGTTAAGCAGTTAGAATTTATTTACAGTAGCCTCCAAATTCATACAAAACATCTATACATTGTAATTTTCATACTGTTTCCATGAAAACATATCAATAACATTATTTTCATAACTTAGACGCTTTAAAAAATCCAAAGCAGAGCCGGAGTTGATACAGCAATGGTTAAAGAATCTTTTTTTTCTATAATCATTGACATAGCTTTAGAATAAATAATCCATGATAAAAGGTTAGATTAAAATAAACCTACCTCATAGTTATGGAAAATATTATATTTAATTTCTTTGTTATCAGCTGTCTGAAATTGTGAAATATGCAGTTTAGCAATTCTTCTTGTTTTCATTTAAATGTCAAAGCAAATGTAAACAAACGTTGTTAGTGTTCTAATCGCAGCCATGGAGACCAATCAATATTTACTTTTAAAATGTTCACCTTAGTACTTTTAAAGCCAAAGGGGCAAAGCCTACGGTCAGTATCGAAATGTGAATAATCCTATAAGGGTCCTTGGTATGGTATCTATATTTTTGTAAAATTTAAGCCCAGTTGGTTCAGTAGTTTTTGTACCTATTGGTAACACACATACAGACAGACACCATTAGATTTTTATATAATAGTATAGATTTGTTTAAATCTGCATAACTTTTAATAGATTTTACATCACTTTTCAATATTTTGTAAAATTAACGGTTTCCATGGAATTTGGCATCGAATATTTTTAAAATCCGACAATTTTAAACGGTTCATGAGTTTTTATTGGTATTTTTCACAAAGATATTGGTCAAAAAGAACATTTAAAAAAAACACTCTGGCTCAAGTGGTTAAGGTTAAAAAAATGGTTAAAAAAGCATACACACATATGGACTGAAAACGGAATGAGATAGGACACATGTTATATTACAGTTTTTTGTTTATTTTGACTTGCTGAATAAGACATCCTAAGTACTGTTTTAGGTACAAAATAGACAAATATTGCACATTTGTGGCAAAACTGAATGTATGGACACAGTTTAGTTACCAAATTTAAATAAAAACAAATAAAAATAAAATGTCTCTTAAATTATTAACATTATTATTGAAGAAGAATCAATAAACATTTTTGCAAACGTATTATTTTTTCGTAACTTGGCTTTAATTTAGGTGGTAAAAGATTAGTACAAACCGTTCAAGCCCTTACTTCTATTTCGTATATAGGACTGATCAAGATCTTTCAATATACTTTCCTGAAACTCGTGGTTTACAAATCGTTTGGCTCAATAATTCTTAGGTTATGTTTGAGTTATCAGTAGAAGTCGGGAGATCGACAATTGAATTGGACGTTACCAGCTGACAAGTTGGCGTTTTAGCATTACAATTTTACTCCTTGAAACATTCTCTCTGGTCCGTCTTTACCACACTAGTGCTGTAAAGTAAGCAAACCATGCGGCAAAGTGAATCTTTTTAATTTAAACAGTTGAATTTAAAAGCATATTTTAACAAATCAAAATCAAAATTTTAAAGTTTTATTTTGGATCAAGGCAATCATCCAGGATAAATAAAAATTATTATATAAGTAATTTTCGTTAATAAAAAGAGTAAACTATATGTTTGTTGGACCCCAGTCTCCGTTCGAGCCTTTACAACCAGAAGACGAAGACAACCCTGCAAATGACCAAAACCAGAATCAGGTCTCAGCACTTACAACACAGACACAACGACAGTCATTACAGGCAAGTATATATTAGGTTGTAATTATGAACTTTGTCGTAAGTGAAGGTCTTTTTGCAGTTATAACAACTGAGACGGCTTGTCGTCTGAGAGGTAGTGTGTATGAAGCGTATTCTGTAATTTAAAGCTAGTGTACGGATATCTCTGAATACTCATTATTGGTTCTATAATGTCTAACTTAAAACTAAATTTCACTATTCCAAAATGCATTGATTGGTTTCTTGCAATATCACGGTCTTCAGAAATACCTTGGTCATAAATTATTGTACAAATTTTAAGATTAATTAAAAAAATTGTAGTAATTACAAAAAGTGGTTATAAAATGTCGGTAAAAATCACCTAAACTGTGAGTGTAATATACCCTCTATATAGTTTTCTTCCCAATGACAAGTGTTGTGGCATAGTCAGCTTGCCAACATTACACCTTACCATACCAGCTGCCTATAACATTATTTATTTGACTAGGTGAAACCCGTCGAAATCGACGGTTACTTTCAAGGCTTACGCTAATTCATCTAACTGCGATAAATTGAGTGAAATTATAAATATTTTGAGCATTTAGCATTGTTTAAAGAGTAATAAGTGTAAACCAATAATGATATTAATTGCGTTAGTTACCAAATAATATGGTTGATCATTCAACGAATAAAATATTTCCCATACTTTGGAAAAACCTTTAAATAGTATTAAAATCGTATTGGTGGATCTTTTGTAGTTAAAAACTTATGCGATTTCATCAGTGCAATAAAGATTAATCTATGATTTTATTTGAGAAAAAATATCTGTTTGTTGAGAAGACACGTTCTAGCTTCAAAGGGAGGTCCATCCGTTACAGTGTAAGTTTGATTTTTCCTTTGTCACGTCGCGTCAGTTCATACTTCTGTGTCAAAGAATAACCCTCTAGCATAGTTTTGAGAAATTAGTTGTGGGGTTACTGTTAAAGCTAATAAAACACTTCTGCACTTGTATTATTTTGTACAGTACTGTATTGTATTACGCAATCGAAGATTTTTCCAATGATTGAAAACATGTACCTATGACATTAATCTCATGAACCTATGATGATCTGTCTAGAATAATATGAAAAAATATAGCCAAAAGTGGTGAAAAAGGCAGACACCAACCCGTACAATAAATATAAGATAGTCTAATAACAAATAATTGTAAGAGTTACTGTGATAAAAGGATTTTCTACTGATTTCGTAATGGGATGTTATATTGCAAAACATAACATGATACAGACAAAAATCAATTTTAAAATCAGAAAATAACTTTGCAAATACTTTTTTCCTACAGTCACCCGACAAAGTTGGCTTCCTTGTACTGTTTATAGTACAGAAAGCTGCTAATTGCTGCATATTTATACTTTGCCGTACGGTTTATACTTTGCCGTACGGTTTATACTTTGCCGCACATCAGGATTCCAACGAAACAACACAAAACAGCGTGGTTCTATTATGCACGTAATCCGTGTACGCTTGGAAATAGGTTGGCAACACTTAAAGATAATAATACTATGAGCAGCTGATTGGCTATTATAACTACGATTTAACCTGTCATTTCGTGTTTATAGTTTCGGTATTTCTAAACTTTCTGGACTTTTCTTTTAAACGTTTTTAAAACATTCCTACGATCTTAATACAAAAGAAAATACCTTTAAAGCATTTTTTTAGGCACGGAAACCACTTCAAATTACAAAAACATACGGAACTATATTCTCAAAACGCGGACCACATTTGTTGCCGAGGAAAAATAGCGGAGTGATACGGACCGCGGGTACTACTTTCTCTAGGGCACTATTTCTGTTGCCAGCTGAACCTAAAACCGTGTTGTATAGTGTTTGAAAGACTAATTATTTATATGCTTTATAGTGACTGTAGGAAAAATATAATGTGTAACACGAGTGAAAAAGGCCTTTGCTGCACTCGAGATCATTCCGCACTCGCCTGCGGCTCGTGCGTAAACATTGCTCTCGTGTGCAGCAAAGTGCCACTTTCACCACTAGTTACACAAATAACTATTGTTAACTTTGATGTTAGTTAGCTTGTCATATTGTTAGCTTTTTATATCATGCTGGATTCTTTGTTCAATAAAGCCTAACTAAAGGTAATTTCGTTTTCTAATGGTTTTATTCATTCAATCTACAACAATTTATTGAACAAAGAATCTTTTATTAAAATATACATCAACCTTTTGTCATGGAACTTATACTTAGACCTGAGATATTTAATGTCAATCCTATTGAAGTCCAAGATTGGAAACATTGGTTTCACACCTTTGAAAACTTCATCGAAGCTAGTAAAATCAGTGAAGAACTGAGGCTTAACCAATTTATTAACCAATTACCAAATACCAATTTGGTATTAACCAATTTCATTTCACCTTCCGTTTATGAGTATGTAAATGACTGTAAAACATACAATCAAGCAATTGATGTGTTGACAAAGTTGTACTTGAAACCTGTCAATGGAATTTACGCACGTCATAAACTTAGAATCAGAAGACAAGATACTGGTGAAAACATTGATACTTATGTAGAATCTCTGAAGCGTCTTTCCAAGGATTGTAACTTTAAAGCTTTAAATGCTGTATCTTGTAGAGATGAATACATCAGAGACACATTCATTGATGGCTTGCTAGTACCTCACATTCGTCAACGATTGTTGGAAAGCTCTGCCTTGACTTTGGATGAAGCCGTTTCTCAAGCCAGACCACTCGAAATTGCTAAATATCATTCTGAACAGTAAAATTTAGAGAAGTGTTTACCAACCATTAACGCTGCAGCTTCAAAGACTATCAGTGAAAAGAATCGATACTTGTCTAGCCCTGATCCAAGACCTTATGCTGCCGAACCAGAATCGTATCCATTTCAATAAAGTATAACATGTTCACTCAATCAGACATGTTACTTCTGCGGCTTTAAGAAACACAACAGAGCTGCTTGTCCAGCTAAAGAAGCTATATGCAGAGGATGTGGCATTAAAGAACATTACCAAAAGGTATGTAGAAAATCCAAAACACAAACCTCTACAGTAAAGGCCTCAGTCCATCAGTCAAACTGTATTGCCTCAGTACCATCGTGTTTGAGTAAAGCTGTAGTCCCAGTACAATTAAATGGAGTCGATGCATACGCTCTTATAGATACTGGTAGTTCTGGTAGTTTTATCAATCAAAGCTCAGCCCTTAGATTCAACATTCCTGTCATTACATGTAATGGGGGAGAGGTATCTATGGCTTCAAAAACTCTGCGTTCCTCAATAAAAGGGTACTGTAAAATCAATCTCAAATTGCAAGATCATATTTACAAGAATGTGGTCTTCAGCGTACTTACAAACTTATGTTCTGACATTATTGTAGGGCATGACATTCTGAAAAGACACTCAAGTTTACAAGTCCATTTTGGAGGAAAAGAGTCTCCTCTCAACATATGTAGTGTAGCCTTAGCTAACGTTGAGCCAGTAGAACTATTTGGTAATTTATCTCCAGATTGCAAGACTATTGCAACAAAATCTCGAAGGCACTCAGCAATTGACGAACAATTTATTGAAAGTGAAATTCAATTACTGTTGAAAGATGGTATTATTGAAGAGAGCAGGTCTCCATGGAGAGCACAAGTCCTTGTTGTTTCATCAGATAACCACAAGCGGAGAATGGTTGTGGATTATTCACAGACAATTAATCGTTTTACAGAACTTGATGCGTTTCCTCTCCCTAGGATTGATGACATAGTCAACGAAGTAGTTTCACACAAAATTTGTAGTTCTATTGATCTTAGGAGTGCCTATCACCAAATCCCAGTAACAGAAAATGACAAAGCTTACACGGCATTTGAGACTTGCGGGAACTTGTACCAATTTACCCGAGTGCCATTTAGAGTTCATAATGGTGTCCTTGCTTTTCAACGTACTTTAACCAACATAATTACTTGTGAAAAACGTGAAGGGGTTCAAGGGTTCAAGGGGTTGAAGGGGTTGATATAACAATCTGTGGTAATGATCAGGCTGAACATGACAGGAACTTGAAAATTTTTATGAAAGCTGTTTCCAAATATAATCTTACTTTGAACAAACATAAATGCAAGTTTTCTACAACCATGGTCCATCTATTAGGTTATGTAATCGGTGTAAAATCAATAAGACCAGATCCAGATAGTTTGCAACCCCTTCAAGATCTTCCCATTCCAACTAACTCAAACTCTCTTGACAGAGCTCTTGGTATGTTCTCCCACTACTCACAATCCATTCCTAAGTTTTCTGAGAAGGTGAGCTGTTTAAACAGAAGTTCTTTTCCACTCAATGAAGAAGCTAAGTGTGTATTTGAAAGACTTAAAGAAGCCATTGTTAATGCAGTAACTTCTTCAATTGACTGTGATGGATTGTTAACAGTCGAAACCAATGCATCAAATAATGCAATAGGAGCAGCTTTGGCTATTGATGGTATACCTGTAGCATTTTTCTCTAGAACACTAACGAACTCGGAACGGAAACATTCATCTATTGAGAAAGAAGCATATGCAATAGTGGAAGCGTTAAGAAAATGGAGGCACTATCTCATAGGCAGACACTTTAGTTTTATAACAGATCAACGATCTGTAGCCTTCACGTTCAGTGATCGAAATGCAAGCAAAATCAAGAATGATAAAATAATGAGATGGAGAGTTGAGTTATCTTGTTATAAGTATGAGATTATTTATAGAGCTGGAAAGAGAACAAAACAGCAGATGCTTTATCCAGGGTATGTTCATCAATGGAAGGAAGCTTATCAAATCTAGTATCACTTCATGACGCTTTAAGTCATACAGGAGTGTCTCGGATGTATCATTGGACTTGGAGTAAAAACTTGCCTTATTCACTGGATGAGATCTGAAAAGTAACTTTCCTCCTGTCGAACCTGCTTAGAGGTAAAACCTCGATTCCACAAACATGAAGCAACTCATCAAAGCTACTCAACCATTTGAAAGACTTAGCATCGATTTGAAAGGGCCACTTCCATCCACAAGTAGAAATCGATATCTTTTAATAGTCGCGGATGAATATTCTTGATTTCCATTCGCATTCCCTACTCAAGATACAACTGCTAGAACTGTTATTCTGAGACTTAAGGAACTTCTTCTTTTCTCAATGTTTGGAGTACCAGCTTATGTTCATTTTGACAGAGGTTCAAGTTTTATGTCTCAAGAACCCAAGTCATTTTTATGTTCATTACAAGCAGAGAGGTATGTTGGTATAATTTGGAAGACAATCGAACTATCACTTAAAAGTAAACATCTGGACATATCTGATTAGGAGAAAGTACATTTATAAGCTTTGCACTCTATCCGGTCGTTATTGTGTACCTCAAAAAATACAACACCACATGAAAGACTATTTCTCTATTCTATAATTTCTAGTAATGGTAAGACAACTCCTTCGTGGCTCATGAACCTAGGTCCAGTGCTCATCAAACGGCCTGTCAGGAGCTCAAAATACGAACCACTCGTTGAAGAAGTACTGCTCCTTGAGGGGAATCCTAAGTATTCTCACATAAGATATGCAGATGTCCGTGAAACTACAGTGAGTTCCAGGCATTTAGCATCTGTAGGAGAAGTGTCACGTAATGAAGAAGACTCTAACTCCTATCTACGACATGAAGAAGACTCAAACTCCAATCTAAGACATGAAGAAGACTCAAACTCCAATCTAAGACATGAAGAAGACACAAACACAAATCTACAAATAAATTAAAGAAGTTCTGAAGTTGAGGTCGAATTTGAGCCTATCTTCCAAGACGAAGAAAAACTGAGTCAAGACCATGTTGCTCTAAGGATTTAAAAACAGACCAATTCACAATTTCAACTAAAGCCGTAGTGTATTGAAAAAGAAGCTCCAGGAGTAAACACCCACCTTTGTATTTAAAAGACTATGTCAGCTAGGAGGGGAAGAATGTCATATAATTCCTTTCTCTGTACATTGTGACATGTGTTCAAATGTTTATAAATTGTTTTTGTTTACTTTGATGTTAGTTGGTTCATATTGTTAGCTTTTTATATCATGCTAGATTTTTTGTTCAATAGAGCCTAACTAAAGGTAATTTCGTTTTCTACTGGTTTTATTCATTCAATATACAACAAAGTATTGCAAAAATACATTGTACACTAGTAACGAATATTTGTTGTTTTTACGTTAGCATTAAATTCGTATGGCGCTCACTTCTTATTTGTTTACTATTATCTCTATAAGTCAAATTTTGAGGTACTTTAAGAATGAAATTATTAGTGCGTTGTATGTGAATGATAGAAAAAATGCATGGATAGGTTACACACCTATGTCATTTCTCTAATAGCATCAGGCAAATAGTTTACATTTTTAAAACATCATTGTTCTATTTTTTAAAACGTTTTTATTAGCTCGCTTTCTTGTCAGGTACATATTTTGCAATCAATTTTATACTAAGTTTCCGATGAGCTAGAGACTTGAAACTTGAAACATAGCTCACAAATGGATGACAATGCAATATTATATCATTTAATTTTCATATTTCCCTTAGGCTACGCCCCATGGGGATGGGCTTGTTTTTATAAGCTTGCCAGTCGCTCTCCTACAAATTTTGATATCACTTTTAAAGATCCCTAGATACTCTGCAAAGGAGACCCATAGTTTTGTGGCCTCGACGACAAATCTCATCAACATGAAAGTCAGGTGAAAGGTCAGATGAGAGAACCACCCCTAAGTCACGAATGCTTGTGACACGCTTTAAGTAAGTAGTGTCAACCATATACTGAAATTCGATTGTTTGAATGTTTCTATGAAATGAAATGATTTTGCACTTCGTTGGGTTCAGCGACATTAAGTTCTTTGTTGACCACTCGAGGACAGAGTCAAGGGCTCTCTGCAGGTGGAGACGGTCTCGCACGGTGTTGATTTCCAGGATGAGCTTCACATCGTCGGCAAACATTAGAGAACGGACTAGCAAAACACTGGGAAGGCCATTCACGAAAAGAGAGAATAGGAAGGGTCCCATCAAGGATCCCTGTGGCACTCCTGAAGAAGTAGGAATTGGAGTTGATACTGCGGAAGCGAATTTTACACAGAGACTCCTTCCAGACAAGTAGCTGCCAAACCAGCTCAAGAGATTTCCCAGGATAGAAGCGGTCAAAGAGTGGTGGAATATCTTTGAAGATGAACCTTTATGGCAGTAGTGCGATCATGTGTTCATACCTATCAAATTTTGAGGTTAAATCAAAACAAACTGGCATAATTATATTTTTGGAATTGACAATGATTAAATATACTTTAAACTTACTCTAGCCTACTTTTATAAAGTACTTAGCCATTTAGAGAATATTTACTGTGAAAACCAGACGTGATTCCTAAATCCAATTCAACTAGTTTATTATATAGTTTATAAGTTGTTATTTAATTATTGTATTCCAAATTAGTTGATGGTTGCTATGAAAATAGCTAATTATATGAGATAATATTAAAATATTGAATCTTCTTCCATAATTAATTTCAATCATTATATTAATAAAATAATGTGGTTGCTGTGACTAGAATACACATAAAATTACTGTTGGTACATACAGTAATAATGATTTACGTTTAGTTTTAAAAACTCTTAACATCTATGTTTGTTTGTTTGTTTGTTTTGATTTAACCTCAAAATTTGACACATATGAACACACGATCGCACAATAGCCAAAAAAGGTTCATCTACATAATATTCCACCACACCTTAACCACTTCTAGCTAAAAAAAACCCCACATGTAGGTAAATTGCTACATTAGGCAGCAGAAGGATCATTGCTTGCTACAAGAAGTAGTATATTTTCGGTGTAGGAAAAATTCATTTAAAGTACTGACACAATATAAAACTATTTACTCTAAATGAATATAAACTGACCCTGAAGTAAGCAACGATGAATGTGCGATTCGTAGAATATCTACTTAGCCTTAAACTTGGTCCTAATAGTGAATTTCTTTTCCAGCCAACTAAGTCTACCCAAAATAGAGAGACCAAAAACAAAGACGACGAAGTTGTTACAGCGAGTAAGTTTTAATTACAATGCTTGTATTTAGTTTACAATGGTAATAAAAGTCCCTTTTTCTGGTTTCGTTCAAGATATATCCTAAATTAATATAATTAAATTAAGAAAATAAATTCCAATATGATGTTTTATAATGAACCATCTAATTGTTAAAATACCCTCGCTACAGCAAACCTGGAGACTAATCGAATTGTCATGTACCTGGTTCGATTTTCATAAAAATATTTCCATTATATTGTTATTTATTTTCTAATTAAATGACAATTATTTAATTTGTGGTTAGAAATTTAGGTTTTCTGCTACATTGGAGGTAATTGGAGATTGTTATTGAAATGATAATAGCTTGGTAGAAAAAAGAAACAGTTGTTTTCGAAATTTGAACAAAATATATCCTTAGGCTAAATACAACAATTATTTGATTTATCCTCCAAAAAACCGCTTCAGTAGGCCTATACCAATGTATTAGCTTTAATAAGATTTACTATTTCACATAATTATCCTTATATATAATATTATATAATATACGCATTTGAACTGCTGCAGTTTTTGGCCTCTGGGGACATAAAACTTAAAATTAAATCACTCTCGCGTCCAGGCCTTACCATGAGACCTATAGTAAAATCTTATTTTTATATATCTTATATGGGGAATTCACTAAAAACGATAGTTGCAATACGCTACGATTACAACACATCAATATAACTATGCTAATAATTCACTGCTGGCTGTTTTACAGGTGGTATCACTACAGAAGACAACACCAGGTCGATGGTTTTGGTTGCAAAGTACAAACAAGAGAAGTATACAGTACTGACACTACTTTGCCTACGATCAGAACAAAACGAATACTACCTTAGTTTGTTCGACAACGACAATCACATTTTGACTGTAAATTACGATTGCTCCGGGGTTTCAATTTATTTATCACCATCTGATTCATTGACGATTGCTGTTGATAAAAATGATGAAACAAATGGCAAAGAATTTGTCTTCATATGGGTTCGTAATAAATGGTTTAGCGTCTGTAGAGTTTGTAAGTCAGTTACTCATCTGTCCCTTTACAACAACGGGAAACCTCTTGAATGGAAAAAGGTAAATGAAAAGTGTAATATGTTTCATGACGACACAGTGTTCTATGTACTTTGTATTTATTTATCACCATATTATGTTTTAGTTATTAATTACAATTGTTGTGGTTTTGTTTACTTTTTTCTTGGCTGAATTCCATTGCAGTCCTTGTTATTTGTGTCTGATATTATTTTCTGCAAAAAGATATATTAAGCCAAGAAATTCCCTATCATGCTGTTAGTGATGTTGAGTACATTATTGCTAAATATTATCTATTAGGGTCATAGTTGGGATGATTTATTTATTTAGCATTTCAAAATTAACTGTCATTGGCTGGATGTATTTTCTTAGACCTGTTTACTGAAACCAAAAATACTTTTAATGTCATTTTAGGATCTAGTTTTAATTTTTTTTAATTTTTTTTTTTTAGGACAAGCAGTCATTTTTGTACACATAGGTATCACGAAATTTGTTTTGTGGTGTTTACAGTTTTACTCATAATAGATCTTTTTCAGGAGCTTATAATAGAAGGATGCCCTCTGAAAGGTAAGCGCTATAAATATTGATCACACTTTGTTATGAATAAGAACACTAGAAAATTAGTGGCATATACAGGGTGTTCAAAAAAGGTGGGGACATAATTTACGAATTTGATTCCTTGGGTCAAAATAAAGAGAAAATAAGAATAACATTTTTCCTAAAACCACTTCGTTAACCAGATATCCACCATTTTGTTTTTTTACATAAACATTTTGATTTTTTGATTTTTTTCAACCGATATTTAAGAAACTTGGTATTTTATTTATTTTTTTTTATTTATTACATGCACGGCAAACACCATTTTCAAGAGTGTTGAGTTGACATTGATAAGAACAGGTAACTTAATGTTATGGGAAATAGATATAGAGGTGAGCAATAATTAATATTAATGTGAAATACGATATACAACACTGTTTTGTTAATTAAATATACAGAGATTTAACAGGACGTAACAGCTATACAGGCATGTTGCGTTAAAACAATATAAATAGACAATTTAAAACAACAAAAGCAAATGTAAATAGACTATTAACAACAAAAAATACATAATAAACCATTTACAAGAAGACAATATAGACCGTTTACAACAAAAACAATATAAATATACTATTTAACAATAAAAACAAAATAAATAGACCATTTAACAGCATATTAGAATGAAAAACAGATGAATGACACTATTGACAAGACTGATACTACATGTAGTTTCTTCTGAGTACGGCACTCGTTTCTGACTTGAAGGAGGAGGGACACTGCGGTCAAAGAAGAGTTAGTTGACGTCACCGCGGTTGCTGTTCCCTGTGCGCATCAGGCGAGATCTGGCTGTGCTGAATGTGGGGGAGTAGAGATATTGTTGATGTCTGGAATGACGAGGGATGTAGAAATCAATCTTACCCAGCAGCTCAGAACAGTCAAATGAACCATTTACTATCTTGTAGAGGAATACTGCGTCCATAAACTCTCTTCGATAAGCAACGGCGGGAGGCCAAGAAGCTGACCAATCTCGTTGATTTCAACTTCCGGGTATCGAAGACCCATCTTGACTCCAATCAATCTAAGAAAACGGGTTTGGACTTTTTATAGTTAATTAATCAATCCCAGTTGGTAAGGGGACCACACAGTTGATTTGTGTTCCAGAATTTAGTGAACGAGAGTCATGTAGAGAGTTTTAATGGTGGTAAGAGAAAAGGATCCTCTAGTTGCTCTGAAGATTAAACCGAACACGGAGTAGGCCTTGGAGCATATGCAAGATATGTGAGCGCCAGGGTGAAGGTTGGGTGAGAAGAGTACCCCCAAGACGCGGACCTCTTTGGCAGACTGCAGAACTTGAAGACCTATATGGTAATTGAAACTGCATTACTACACACTTTTTCTCATTCAGGTCCATAGAGTTGATTTGGCACCAATGAATAACATTGTTAAGGTTTCTCTGAAGGCGAGCATTGTCATCCTTTGAGGAAATCTCACAGAAGAGTTTCAGGTCATCTGCAAAGAGGAGAAACCTAACGTCCAGGATATCTATGATGTCATTTATGAAGATGTTAAATAAAAAAGGGCCAAGCAGAGACCCTTGAGGGACGCCCGAAGTGACACTAATCGGATATGATAAGGCCAACGAGTGCCTTACCATCAAGGAGCGATTGGTCAGATATAATTTGATTAAATTAAAAAGTGCACCGGTCACACCGTAGGCCTCCAACTTGCCCAGCAGATGTTTATGACTTACTCGGTCAAAAGCCTTCGAGTAATCAAGATAAATGCAGTCAACATGTAGTCCTTACCCAAATGCCAAAACCATGTGGTCTTCAAAGAGAATTAGATTGATCGAAGTGGATCTCATAGTGGAAGTCATAGCAATGGTAACTTTTAAGGGAAATTTCTTCTTAGTCAGTTTGAAAGGATTGCAGACTATTGCGTAGTATGACTAGAATCTGCCGACTTCGCATTGATAGTGTAGGTGCCCAAGTGAGCTTAATGAGTTTAAAAACACTCTAATGGATACAACAGAGTGTTCTACGTCCCTTGGTAAAAGTCGAATCGAAACGGATATAAACCGCTTCCTGTCAGTAAAAGATTTGACACAACACAACCATTCGTTGAAGCCTGTAGTAAAGATAATATAAGAGGTGATATTTGAAGGTGGAATTCTTAATAGACAAGAGTTGTCAAAATTAAGGCTATGTAGTAAATCTGTATAAATAAAATTACAGTTTTGTTTGTACATTGCGTAGAATCGTGCAGTATTTAGTTATTTTTACGTTTCATAGCCTAAGAAAGCCGAAATGAGTTTTATCTCAATTTCTGTCTGTCTGTCTGTATGTTTGTCTGTCGCTCTGTCATTCTGTCTTTACCGCCAAAATGTCAATTTACGCGGCCTACTCCTAAAAAACTAGAGTACAGATCAAGATTCCAATCATTTTTTCAGTATTCACCGGATTAACGTGAGTGTCCTTGGCTTTTAAAATATGGCCTCGCTACTTAGGAAATAAAATAACGAACCCTCAAAAACCCAATTTTGTGTGACTTTTGTCAAGTTTTCTCCTAATGTTTACTATCAGATTTTATGAAATAACGAACAGTTTGGATTAATTCTCACTTCTAGCTGTCACTGACATGTATGCACCAGAAGGCATTTTACGCGGCCTTCTCCTAAAAACTAGAGCATAGATCGATATTCACACTGGATTTGCGAGAGTATCTTTAGCCATTAAAATATGGCTTCACTACTAAAATAACGGACGTTCAAAAACCCAATTTTGTGCAATTTTTGTCAAGTTTTCTACCAAATTTTACCACATCGGCTACAGCATCATTTATGACTAGCTGTACCCACGGGCTTTGCCCCGTTTAACTTCATAAGTATTTAATTCGCATGGCTCAATCACGTCCCAGTTGAAGTTCGTTCGCTACGCTCACTCACCTTTAGGTTGGAGCTCGTTCGCTGCGCTCACTTGTTTTCAGGATAGCTCGTTCGCTACGCTAACTCGCCTCCAGGTTATTAGGTCCATTAGGTGGAAAGTTCCCTTTAGAAAGGAATTATGACCTTAAAGGGCAATTTATGAAATAATGGGCAGTTTTGAGCAAGGTTTCTCGTAATTAAATATAAAAGCAAAAGAATCCATCCAGTACTTACTGTTTAGTTGTTCTTGCTTAGACTTGTTTAAAGTGAATAGTCTGATTTCAACTCCGGGGTCATTTTTCGTAGAAAGCACAGACTAAGTTTGTTGGTTGTCATCACGAATGGTTGTCATGGATGAAGTAAAAACAAAACACCCGGATCTGAGGAGTTAATCGTTTGTTTTGATTAATTTAATTCACGTGTTTCTGCTGATCGAATAACGTAAATAAACATTTCAAGTTTAAATTACTTAAAGCAGAATGTTATAATAGATCTTTTTTTTTAGAAAAACTACTAAAAAATTTGTATTTGTATATTTTTTCGATTGTTGTAAGAAATTGTAATATATATAGATTGGCTTTTTAATAACCTACGTGTATGTATTACGTAAGGTCTTAACTATATAGAAAGGGGTTTTTGGAAAAATTGAACATATTTCTTTTCTTTCCTATCTAAACTAATTTTACCGTGTCAGTAAGTATATTTAAATACCCCCGCCGCAGCAAACCTGCAGACTAAGCGAATTTCAACTTCTCTGATTACATTTTTACTAAAATATTTCCATAAATAAGACATTGGTATTTATTCCCTATTTAAATAACATTAGATTTAACGAGTGCTTAGGTTTGCTGCTACGGGGAAGGTAAAAAGTGATTTTTGACCATACCTCAATAGAATAGGATGAAATAAATAAATTTGCCAAATTTTATCAATATATATCCATAAACAAGTAAACTACAACAATTTTCATTTTCTCCATAAGAATAACATGGGAATTTTAAATTACACTATTTTTTAATTTTCTCTGTGACCGTTATGCATAAAACAGCGCTTCAATATACTAAATTATTTATTTTTTTAAGCTCTACAAAATGGTTTGAAAAGAAATTGCAATTTTGTTTTGTTTTTAGGGTCAAAAATGGGAAAACCCATTTTTACCCCATAAAACCCCCCATAAACCCCCGTTCCCATGGTCCGATTATGCTGGATCGCGAACTCGTTCGAATAAACGTAGGTTTACACGTTTGTACCAAATTTCATCAAAATCGGATCATTTTTGCTCGAGTTATCGCGCTAACGGACACACACACATATATATATATATATATATATATATATATACATATATATATATATGAATTTGAACGGATGGTGTTTTTGGCCTCTAGGGACCTCAAAATGAAAAATTAAATCGGTCCCGGGTCCAGGTCTTACCATGAGTACTACGGTAATAGCTTATTCCCTATATGGGAAATTCGCTAAAAGGGCGAAGTTTGCGTAAATGAGTGAACAGACGGAAAAATCAATTATGTAAATCAACATTGATAGTATATCTAGTTACTTGAACATTTAGTATTGGTAATACATGTATTCATTACTAGTTGGATAAACCTTCCTTTGACTGGATACAACACAGAGGCGGTTTCTACAAACATCTACTGTAGAGTCATTGGTTATTGGATGTTAGGCTATAGAGTTAAATATCCACAGTTGATAAAACAACTAAACCTAAATTGTACTCCTTTATTAAAAAATACTTTTCTTTTAGTTGTGGTGAAGGTACCCCTACGACGTTGTATTTTATTTTATGGTAAAGGTTCTATAGGCAGCCTAGTGCCGTTAATACATATAAAAAAAAAACTTAGGTATTACATTGAATTCTAAAAGAGACTGAATGCATACCTACAATTTAAATGGCCAATACCTCAGTATCATTCACTAAAACAAAAATGCAGTACAGTATAATTAAACTAGAGGACCCATGCTGCTCCGCAGCGTTGAAATAAATATCATATCCGAGAAATAATCAAATTTATGATTTTTGATTGAGTAATACAGTATCTTGAACTGAAATGATTCAAACAATCACTCTAATATCTCGAATTAA